ACATGGGGATGAAATAAACCGGGAGGTGAATGTCGTCTCTCTCAGCAAGGAGAACAGCAATGAGGGCGTGGTCTAAGACGGCTAAGTACATGTAAAGCACCACCTGCGGCAAAGGGCTAACAAGCCTTGGCAACGAGTGCAAGTGTTTTTTTAATTTCAGAAAAGCCGTCTCAACATCCTCTCCCCATTCAAATCTAGTCTTCTTTTTTATTGCTTGGAAGAAATAGAGGCACTTGTCACCTGATCGGCTGAGGAATTTCCTCAAAGCCGCTAGAGAACCAGTTAATTTTTGTACTTCTTTGACAGTGCGGGGTGACTTCATGTCAATAACCGCCTGTATCTTCTCTGGGTTAGCCTTTATCCCCCTTTGATCAATCAGAAATCCGAGAAACTTCCCAGACTCAACACCAAAGACACACTTCTTGGGATTAAGCATGACCTTGTGCCGCCTGAGGGTGGTGAAGGTTTCTCGGAGGTCAACAAGGTGATCCGTCTATAGCTTGGATTTGACTATCATATCATCAATGTACGCCTCTACAATCCTCTCAATCTGATTAACGAAGACTGTATTAATCATTCGTTAGAAGGTAGCAGGCGCATTTTTCAACCCAAACGGCATCACCGTATAACGGAATAACCCCTGATTTCTCTTGATCTTTTTTCCACAAGGGTATCTGATGGAAGCCTGAGTAGGCATGACCGGCTGTAGAGTAGACCAGACTGTCGATCTTTGGAAGGTGATTACTATCCTTCAGACATACCTTGTTCAGATCTGTGTAGTTAACACACATCCGCCAGGTGTCATTCGGCTTTTTTACAAGAACAACATTTGCAACCCATTCCGGGAAGTCATCCAACAGCTTCTTTACTTCGGCGGCTGCCGCCTGACTTCTTTCCTCACCGTGGTTCCTTTTCTTTGCCTAAACGGCTTCTTCTTGGGATCCACGGCAAGTTTATGAACAGCTTAATCCGGGCTGACGCCTGCCATCTCTTCTACTTCAAAGGCAAAGATTTCTTTGAATTCTTTCAGCAGGTTGTGCAAGTCTGCACCCAACTTCGCAAAAGCAACCGTCCCAACCTTAATAGTTAGATCCGGACGTGTGTCGTCTAGAACGATATCAATGTGTTCACCAGTCAGCTGGGGACGGAGTTCGTCTGACCGTTCCCCAATCAGTGATTGCTATAGCTTCTCCTTTTTTACGGCCACCAACCGGTCGGCCTTTCTCTTTTTGCCGGCTGCTATTAGAGCAGGCGCGGCTTCTTGACCTCATCAAGGTTTATAGGATCTTCACCTTGGCCGAATGCGGCCACAGTAGGCTTGACGTCTGAGATGTAACACTCTCTTGCCGTCTTATGATCCCCATTCAAGGAACCTATTGATCCGTTATCCTTTTCAAACTTCAGAAGCATAAGGGATGGAATGATGACGGCCTTGGATTCATTCAGAGTTGGACGACCCAATATCAGATTATAGGCGGTCAACTCCTCAACGACCAAGAACTGGACTACCATGTGGCGTCCTTCTCCCTTAATCAGATGGGTAGGTCAAGCCTCCCCACCGGATGCACTACTCCACCCCCAAAACCAACTAAGGGGTGAGATACTTTGTGCATACTGCTGAGCTTGTACTTCATCTTTGCCAAGCACTTATGGCTGATCAGGTCAGACGAGCTTTCGGTGTAAATAAGGATCCGACCTACCTTCTAGTCGACCACTTTACATTCAATGACTATGGGGTCATCATGCGGCCGCCTGACCTTGCCCCTGTCCTTCTCAGTTATGATGACCTCATGAAAGGTGTCTTTTGACGCCTAGCCCTCATCAACTGAGTTGACATCCAACCGCCTGATATAGTCTTTGGTGTCTCGGATGGTTGGACCTCCTCCGACAAAGTCGCCTGCTATTGTATAGATCGGCTCTTCATCAGTGTCTGAACTATTAGCAGGTTGGGCCGCCTTTTTGGACGACTGTCCATTATTTGTCCTCGGGGTCACCTTGGACTTCAGAATGTAAGACTTCTGCACCCCTTTATCAGTCAGACGGTCCAACAACCGTTTGAGGCTATAACAGTCCTTGGTGTCATGACCTATGTCCTCATAGAATTGACAGTATTTGTTCTTGTTCCGATTTTTGACGGAACCTTTCATTGCAGCCGGTTTCTAATAGTCACCCGTTCTTTGATCTCCATGAGGATGGAGTAGTAGTCCTTGTTAAACTCTACTTAGGAACGTACAGTTTAAACTCTTTTTCCTTCTTTTTTTTTCTAGGACGGCTATTCAGAGTCATCTGCCACCCAGACTTCTTTTCTCTTCTTGCTCTCTTCTTTTTTAGCCAGCTGAGTAGGCCGACTCTCTTTTTTGTCAAACTTCTTAGGGTCCGTCTGTTTACTAATGACGCAATGTTCAATCGTCTGTATATAGGCTTCTGCCTCCATCAGAGCTTCTTGGAGGGTAACAACCCTCTTTCTGACGAGGTTGAACTTAAAGGTCGACCCGTCCTTCAGACCTTTAAAGAAGTCTGTGTAAGCCACTTCGTCAGACAACCCTTGAATCTGAATTCTCATCAGATTGAACCGCCTAACATAAGACCTAAGCCCTTCTCTATCTCCATGATGTATGGTACAAGTCAAGACTGGTTTTCTTAGTAGGGATGTTCATAGAGAAGTTAGAAGCAAACAAGTACGCAAGCGTCTTGAAGCTATTGATGTAGCCGACTGGCAGGTTGCCAAACCATCGTTGGCCAATGCCCTTCAATGTAGCCTGATGGAAGCAGCGGCACCAGGTAACATAAGACCTAAGCCCTTCTCTATCTCCATGATGGAAGCAGCGGCACCAGGTAGCACCATCCAACCCCTGTAAGTACATAAGGTTGGTGTAGGCCATCAGGTGATCTTCAGGGTTGGTGGTACTATCATAAGTACCCACCACACATTCTTAACCTTAGCCGGCTGTGCCGCCTCGGTTATCTCCTTGGAGAACGCAAAAGGTTGTTCCCCAAGTTTGAGCAGACGAAGCTGCCAGTCCAAAAGTTGGACATTCTGCGCCACCTGACCCCCAAAAAGAGCCAACTGCATATATGGTTGCCCATACGGCATGTATGGCTGCAAAGGCACATATAGAGCCGAATGGATTATTTGAGTGCTAGTGTGAACGGACATGCCGCCTGACTAACTATCTCGATTTGATTGCGAATAACTCATTAAGTTATTCTGAAAGCTGTCTGGGTAAGTCGACGTTGAAGCCGACTTAGACATTTGTTGACATTTCTTCTGCTGGATTAACATCTGGGCATCAGAATAAGTCTTCTTCGATCCATTTGGCTGAACATGCCGGATGACCTTCCTTTTTCCTATTTCAGGGAATCAGATCTTAGACAAATCAATCACGAGCCGATTCCCCTCCTTTGGTTTAGGATGCGGAGTAGGCACACGGTCCTTGATCGGTTATTTCTTTTCTAAAGGAGAAGGTTCTTGGCTGACTGATCCCTGCTGGAGCCAACCGTCTTCTTATTGATCAAGTCCTTGATTTCCCCTTTAACACTTGTCATGAATTTCATGAGTTTGTCTCTAGTAACTGGGGCTGCGCCTTCTGCCGCCTGGGGTTGTCCAAACGGCTGTCCGGCTGCCTCACTTGGACCTACTTGCTCTTTTCCCCGTTCCCTTGTTTCCATGAGACGGGTGCGCCTGGCTCTGAGTGACTCGTTTGGGGCCACAAAGGTTTCAACATCAAAGTCGTCACCACTGTCTTGGGTGGAGTTCCGCCTTCGACGATCAAGTTTGAACGCGTTCAAATGATGTAAAAAGTGCGGAAAGTAAAGTATCTTCTGGGATTCTGAGATCAGGAGTATTCTCTCAGTGGAGAATTGAATATCTGCAATTAATGATTACTCTGTTTTTCTGTGAATATTTTTCCCCTTTGGTGGGAATATCTCCCTATTTATAGGGTCTTGAATTCGCGCCTCCTTACTAGGTTACGGAAACCTAGGAATGGTGGGCTATCTAGGGAATTGGGCCTTGAAGGCCGTCTTTTTCCCAATGATTGGAGATGCCACGTGTTAGCTGAGAATTAGTTCATTTTGAACCTCTCATAAGGTGACACGTGTCACCATTGTATTGGGCCACGTTAGCCAAGTTCATCCGAGCTGAAGCACACAGTAGCATCATACCAGAAGCAGTGAAGCAGAGCTAAGCAGCAAAGAAGCTAAGCAGTGGAGGCAGCGGTAGAGGCGAATCAGCTACCTGGGAACCAAAACATGATTGAATAGAACATTTTTGTCAGAAGATTGAATGCATTTACTAAGGTTCAAGCTTGGGGGAAGAGTTGGCAGACTAGCTATATAGTCCGCACTCTAAAGACATTCAACATCATCCGGTGAGCTCGTTTCCTTGTTTCTTTCTATTTTTTTCCCTTTATTTTTCTTTATTTTTTTTTTACAGTTACACATTGAGGGTGATGTGTGAATTAAGCTTGGGGGGAATGCATTATATTCGGTCTCCTTGGTATGTCTGCTTTGCATATGAGTCAACATTAACTCTACAATGCTTAACCTCTGGCTATAGACTTGTATATATGCCAAAAAAAAAAATGAAAAATTGATTCTTTGAACAATTGCTAGCCTAGTAAAAGTCAGTCTTGTGGTGGGGTAAAAAGAAAGAAATGAGTTAGGCATCAAAATTTTTGTAACACCCCAATAATTCTCTCTTTGAAAACCTGAAAATACCTTTAACAACCTGCAAGAGAATTACTGACGTGCTACCGTCACGTGTTCAAACGTTAAGGCTAGTTTAGGAAAAACTAACTTAGTTATCAATAAGTTTCAAAACCAAAAATAAAAACCAAATTTAGTCTTACAAGTTGGAACCATTAAGACCCTTCACTAGTAGAAAAAATGAATTAGGCACCACACTTTTCGCACCGGTTCTTGAAAACCGATGGTAAAAGAAATGGGCGGGATTGGGGAAAAGACTTTTCGCACCGGTTCCTATTAAACCGGTGCGAAATCATCTTTTTCGCACCGGTTCAAATCGGTGCGAATTACAAAAGAGAAAAAAAAATAAAAAAAAAAAAGGAGAAAGGGATTTCGCACCGATCCAGTCCAAACCGGAGCGAAATTAAAAAAAAAAAAAAAAACCGGGCTATTATATCTTCTTCTTTCTTTCTTTCTTACCCCCTGCTTTTCCATCTTCTGTTTTCCCTCAGCTCGTTTTCGCCTTCTTTTCCACCACCTCCGAATTTTCACCTTCTCCATTGAAGCGGTTTATCAGCTTTCTCACTCCATTGAAGTAGCTGCACCTCCTTTTCTCTCCATATCTCTCCTCCATTGAACTCGTGTTCTTTATTCTCCATTGAAGCGGATTCTGAGCTTTCTCACCTCCATTGAAGCAGCTTCGAGGTAAGGTTTTTCTTGTGGCATTCTTAATCTATCGAATTCCTTCGCAATCTAGGGTTTGTCGTTGATTTGCTTTTCAATTTAGTAATTTTAGGGTTGTAATAATATAGGGTTTGTCTGAATTTACAAATCTTGATTCAACCCCATATTCTGACAAACCTGCAACGCTTCCGACCAACACACTGTCACCTTTAACGGCTTCCGGTACCGGCGCTTGAAAGGCTTTTTTTTTTTTTTTTTTTTTTTTTTTTTTTTTTGTTAAAGCTTACAAAACCCTAATATAAATCTCTCTTTCGCTCAATTTTTTCCCCAATTACAAGTAAGTTTCTTCTCTTTTTCGCTTAATTCATCTTTATATTCTTTTATGCTGTATTTTTTGTTGATTCTGTTATAGATTTAGTTGAAATTTGTAATATTACGTTGTTTTTTTTTTTTTTTTTAATCTGCGTTTTTTTGCTCAATTTTTTCCCCAATTTCAAGCAATGTTTTTGCTAACCTTGGCTGTGTAGAATCTGTAGATTGTGTATTGTGGGTTCTTTGATTTTGGAACTTGACTCGTTATTTTGGGTTCACTGTTTTTTTTTTAATTCCATAACTTTGCTATGAATCTAAGTTTGTTTTGATAAATAATTAGTTTAATTCATTATAATTGGCCTATGAACAAGTTGAGTTTCACTATATTCATACTGATTAAAATTTGTATGCATTAGTCAATTTTTTCAAGCATTGGATTTGAGTGTCAATTTTTGTTTGCTTCAATGTGTTTATGATGGATATTTTGTAGGGCTTCAATTTGAGAACAATTGTGAAGTGGGTGTGTTCTCTAAGTTGACTAATGCATATTGTTTATTTGGTCAGCAATCGGCAGGTCTGAGAACTTTTACAGGTTTGCTTGCTTAAGCTGCTGAGATTATTAGTGGCTTAGTGTTCCTTTGGTTTGGGTTATTTTGTGATAAGGCTAATTTTTTATAGTCACACTGTGAATTGTTGTGTGTTTTCAGTACATTAAGCGAATTGTCGTGTGAGATATCTGGAGATCTTGCTGGGCAGCGAAGTTCAGAACAGAACCAGAAGAAAAGCAGCAGCATTAAACTCGGGAGAGCATAACAGCAAGACGAAGGAACCCAGGTGGTTGTAGCTCTCGGTTTGCTATGAAACAGGCTGAAATTTCGTTAAGTTGAAAGCTGTACTTTGGGGGAAAGTTTCTGGGCTGGTTGTTCGTGGTTGTTTCGCCAATTTTCACTCAAGAAAAATTGGTATTCATTACTCTAGATTCCTTTGTTAATTTATGATTTTTGCATGCAGTATTTCAATAGTTGGTGATTTGGTACTAAGTTAATTTTGTTTTCATCATTTCAGTATTATCAGATTAAGGAGTTGTTTCAAGTATTATTAGATTCATTTACTTGTTTATATTTATTTCCTTATTTTCTTTAAGTAATATGATTTATATAGCTTCCATTGTTAAACTTTCACTTTTCAGTATGTCAGGCTAGATTAGTCGTGGATACGGAGATATAGTATACATTTGATTATTGTATTATGAGAATAAGAATGCTATGATTTGAGCTTATTATGTTTATATCTTGATTGGATTGATAATCTGTTGTATTGGTATGAATTAGTTGAGTTATATTTTAGACCGGTCATCTTTAGTATAGTTTGCTAGTTTATTTGCTAGAATATTGATTTGTGACACGTAATTGTTCGGATTAATACTTTTTAGTAGCACTTAGGTGTTTGATGGGTGACTAAAGCTTGTCCGATGCCTATGGTTATCAGCCCTTTAAGTTGCACGAATCCGAGCTCTTGAGATTTGTGGCTTAAGCTAGCTACTTCCTAGTTATTAATGCTGCTAAATTAATCGAGTCTAGAGAGCTTGTTCTAGATTGTTAGTTAGTTAGACAATATTCCAAGAGCTTGTTTGGTTTAGTTGCAATTAAGGGAAGTGTTGAATGTTTGTTTATGTTCATCGACTAACATTAAGATAAAAACATGATTTATATAATTCGATGATCAATCGATATTCCAATGCTATATTGTATCTCCCGATCCCTATTTTGTCATTCTTGATTTTTAATATTTTTTATTACTGTTAGTTTTATATCTCCGTACTAAGCTCATCTTCAAGTCCGTAGTTTTATATATTAGATTGTAATAGTCATTCTTCAAATCAGGGGTTTTTAACATATACAAGTAATAATTTGATAATCTAATTCTCTGTGGGATTGACCTTAGCTTGCCCTACTACATTTTAGGAGGTTTTAGTTAGGTTTATTTTTTGTAGACACGCGACAATCGTATCACTAACATTTTACGGTTCAATTTATCCATTGATGTAGTAAGTTGGTTGTGGACGAGGTTGGTGATTCTATCGAAATAAAAGATATGGTAAAACAATGAATAATGATTTAGGATTTAAATTATTAAAAATTTATCGTTTCACATTAAAGATTTTATATAACGGAAAAAATATCACATTTACAATTTATTTATATTTAATAAATTTATTATAAATTATAGTAAAAAAAAATGTTAAACTTTTGTAATTTTGTCTGAAATTATTAAATACAATAAATCAAATAATTAAAAATTTTAGATGAAAAAGCCGTGCATTGTACGGACTTCCATCTAGTAATGAATATATCTAACTTAGTAAAAATAGGACAAACCTGAAAAGAAAAAAAAAATATTACAAAACCGAGAGAGTACTTCACATTCAACAAATAACACATCCAACCGGATCCTCTTCTACACTTCTTACATAATAACCATTGTATCTAGAATAGTATGGATCAATGTAGTAGGTATTACTCCCGAAGTTATGGGCTTGCATTGGATGAACATATTGAATCACCGGTACTCCAGCTTTGGGCTCATCAGGTTTTTTGGGCGCTTCTTTGGGCTTTTCAGGCTCTTTTGCAGGCCCAACTGATATAATTTGAGATGAATATCTTTTCCTTAGTTTTTTCACCACAATTACTGGATCCATGTCTCCTATTATTGTCAATTTCTTTGCCTTCACGTCCATTGAGATTGAATCAATCCCTAGAAAATAAATACCCAATTTAAAAAAAATTTGTATAAAAAAAATATTTGAAAATTTGAAATTAAAAAATTAAAAAAAAAAAAAAAAAACCAAATGCCACGTTATTATGAAAAGCTAATTATTTTGGGACATATAGAATTACCATGAATAGAAGAGACTAATTTTATAGCCTTTTGTTTGCAATTCAAATCATCATGGACGTCCAATTGTAGCACCAATTTCTGAAGAAAAAAACAACATTAATATACGAAAAAATAAAAATTATTTTATTATATTGACAAAAAACATATAGGAAAAGAGGTAAGTGGTAATTATTAGTCGCATTTAATCTATTTGACAGGAAACAAAAAAATATCACCAATAGATAATCATACGCTGTCTTTAGACGACAGATAAAGCATCAAAAATTAAAAGGTAAGAGATCTAACCTGCATTTTTGCTATGTTTTTGGTTTTCTTGATCGGAGAATGTTGCACTTTAGAGAAAAAATGATGAATTGTAAGAGAGAGTAGAAAGTGTTAACAGATGAAAGTGGTGAAGTATGAAGTGTTACAAATTAAGTGGCCATGTGCAATATTTATATGAACAGGGGAAAGTGGATATAAATCAAGACTACTTACCAAGTCAACTGTCTATGAAAAAGCCAAGTCTTCTTAATTTATTGTAAGCCTTATTTTAATCTTCCTTTGTACTGTCATGGTGTAAATGCCGCGTGTCAAGTCAATCAGGTGAGCCCAATGGCAGCTTCCAATTTCTTCAATTTGTCATTTTTTTTTTTAAAAAAAAAATAGTTGTATTTTGGTGATTTAGTGATAACTAGATCATGAGTGAGATCATGTGAACTTAGACGTATACAGGTAGCTTTCTTCACCTACCTGTTTTTTTTTTTTTGTTTAAAATACAAACTTTAGAATTAATTTATAACTTATTGAGTTTGTTTACCTGCTATAAGTTGGTTTAGTTAAACAGGATCAGGCTTTAGGTTTTGATTTTTATGTGAGATTTGAGTTTTTTTAATGTCCGTAATCACTTGATTTGATATGTTAGGGGATCGATTTAAGTTACCTACTTACTTGGTTTAACATTAAGCAGTTATGCATGTTCTAATTAATAGCATACTCATCAAAAATGAATTACTTGAAGAAATAATAATCAAAGTAGGTGTTAGAGGCATAATACAAATTTGTACTTAAAAAAAAAACCTGCTTATAATGTGCTTACAAAATTGCAAATACAAATTATAAGTAATAATCAAAGTGGGTCCCACAAAAATATAGGTGATAGAGGCGTGGAAATGTGTAATGCAGAACCTAATGAAGAAAGGATGACTACAAGATTGTCAACGTCATTCGTCAACGAAATTATATGGTTAAAAGTTATCTCATTTTCTCTTTGAAGTTTCTTGCCTCTTGCTTACGTTCTAGTCGTTCCTTTTGATCAGCCATCAATATTGACCTTTTTTCTCACTCAATGATACACCATACAACTATACAAGTAATAATACAATACTTTAATAACTAAACTTTTTTGTACTTCTTTTTGGTGCAAATGAAGGACTAAAATATAGTGGTATTAAGCAAAACGTGTAAATATATATAATAATATATGTACTAGTAGTATACATACTATGATGTTCTATTGTAGAATGTTCTACGTATATCTTTTTTTTTTACAGTGACATCACTATGGCACTATGCTATCTACTTATATTCATGAATTGACTTATAATACCGATGATTCAAGCTAGTTTCCATAAGGGAAAAAAAATAGAACTAAAATTCTTTTTATCATGATGCTTCCACCAGCTGAACACCGTATTTCTCCTAAGGTAATAAGCATATATTAAAATGACCATGTATGCATAGAAAATTGAAAATCCAACATATCTTTGTTTGTATATTGTTTATACATGAACATTTACATGTGTTAATAATTAATTTAATCGGTTGTGATGAAGAAGTATGTAACTCCATATAAATGAAAGATAATATAAGGGGATTGAAAAAGATTGTACTTGATGTTACTTGTCCAATTCTCCCTCTATTTCATAACTATGGGTATTATTAAACATACATCATGTATCAAATTAGTTAATGTCATCAGACTCTTATTGACACACAGTTTAAACTTAGCTTGAATATGAATATTTTATAGTTTGGTTGTGCATCATTAAAGATAATAGTCAAAAGTCTTAAAACATGTCTTAATTAGATATAAATTTCATGCAAATTCACATATTAAGTTGATTGCGATTTGCGAAACAGAAAGATGGAATTTACTAAATAGACTAAAATCGATCATTGGCATATTTAACGGAGTACAGTAGTAAATTGTCACAATTTGTATAACAGGTGTGAACTCGGGAAAGTGAGTGGAGCATTATTTGGTAAACGTTTTGGTTGGGTTAGTTGTATACATTTACTCCAAATGCATATGCAGCCGCAGGAAGTGGTCAAGACTCAAAAAGAAACTATTTTTTTACCCTTTTTTTTTAAGAAGAGAAAGAGTACAAGAGTAAGATTAATCAACCTTGATTTTTCGCGATAATACAACCTAATTTACCAAAAAACCTGATTAGAAAATTCAATTCCAATAAAAAATTTTATTTCTAGCTTGATGGGCATTCTTCTAGCATCCAAGCGAGAAAGCATACTAACGATATAAAATTAATAAATTATGAAGTCAATAAGGTGAAATAATCGCAATGTTTGAAATTTTACACAATCCACACAATTTCTTAATGGAATATGTGGCAAATGAGCCCCAAGACTTAAGTACTATGTGCAAATTAGTCTCCTTACTATTATTTGCAGCAAATTAAACCCCCTACTTTGAAAATTATGCAATTTATTTACTAGTAACAGTTATCTAATCTAAATGAACAAATTCCACCAGAAAACAACCATCATTTTAATTAGCAATAAATACATAATACACAAATAGATTATTATGTCTCTACATATCAAAGTAGACTTGTTTTTTTAGGGGAAATAACCATCATTTTAACTAGCAATAAATTCGCTCTACTCTGCTCTGCTAATCTCTGTCCTGCTCTGCTCTGGCCAGAAGCTCAAAAGAACAGGGCCTAACTCTACTCTCTTTTTTTTTTTTTTTTTTTAAAGATTTTTGTAGAAGTATTAATCTGCCTAAGAACTTTATCATTTAATTATTTATTGTTAAAATGGATTTTTGAATTACATTTTTTAGATACTATATTTAAACTTCAATTACCATTAATTTTAAAAACTGAGCAAGGCTCGGGATCTATCTAATAGTATTGTATGCTACTAGAAATAATCCATCTACTTCTTTAGATAAAATATTCCATCAACCTTATGGCCTGGTCTTCTCAATCTCCCACCATTTTTTTCTCTCATCTCACCATCTCTGTCTCAATTCATAATAAAAATTACTTCTCCATCTTCCACCATTAAAACAAGCTCAAATTAATGTTTAATAGAAGAATAAATAAAGTAGTAGACGGAGAGATTAAAGAAGAGGGGAAGAAACCCAATTGTGTTATTGTAATTATGAGGTATTCATCTTACACAAATTAAGAGGATGAAAATCTTAGACTATAACGGTATTGCGACTGCTGCGTGGCTACTCTTGCAAAATTTTATTTTATGTCAGTATAAATTGATTTGTATTCAATGATGTTCTATATATAATGAAGTTTTACATGTATGTACTAAGTATATAAATTCTTCGTAGTTCAAATGTATAAGAGTTGTATTGTATAGTGGTAAATATGTAGTTGTATTCCGATAAAGTTGAAAACATATAATTGTAATCCGGTTGAATTAAAAAATTACAGGTTAGATGTGGCTGGAAAAATGTCTATAGGTGTTGATTGCACATATTACAAAAGATATAGGTTTAATTTGTAACAATTAATAGTAAGGATGTTAATTTGCACATGAGACTTAAGTTTTGGGGCTTATTCGCCACAAATACCTTAATAGTCTTTATTTTGTAATTTTAAACGTTTGGAAAAATACAATAATCATATGGGATCATAGCTTGCTTACTAGATTCATCTTGTTGGTAACTTTCAAATTATTAGCATTTTATAACTTTCACTGATAGATAATTAAATATATTATTATTATACATAAAAGATATGTAAATTGACAAACGTAAAACTCCACACATTACATGCGTAGCCTATATATTTTTAATCCAAAACGTATTAAATGGTATGCTGATATATACTTGTAATTCTTGGGGATGTACATGTGATTATGATATTAATCATTCTCAAATCACAACAACAATGATTCCATGTCTTTTACGTGGAATAGCTTACCTTAAATAATGGGATGTTTTTATAGTGATCATGACCCTTCGTTAACTAAAATAATTATATTTTATACAACAATTAACAAACTCTTCAATTCTTACATTATTGCTGATAACTATACATTAAGCATCTCTACTACATTCCATTTAAAATACAAGGCAAAACTCATAAAATGACTAAACATTATTAATTGTTAAGCTTTGAAAATTAAACTATTTAACAAATAACACAAGAGTTTGGATTTTCTTCCACACTGTGGTTGCTTACAGGATGATAGTGGACATAATAGGGAGGTGTGTAAAAGCCCGTTACAAACTCACCAACTTGGGCCTGGAATTTGGGCTCTTGTTTCTTGGGCTGATCTTTCTTCTTATTGTCCTCTTGGTTCTTGGGCTCATCTTTTTTCTTCTCGGGCTCTTTTGCAGGCCCAACTGAGACAATTTCTGTATGATACACTTTTCTGAGTTTCCTCACTAATGCCACCGGATCTATGTCGCCTGTTAGTGTCAATTTTTTCTCTTTCATGTCCATTGAAATTGAATCAAGCCCTACAAATTCAGTAATAGTTTGTCAACATACACTTTTCACCATTCATTTAATTAGATTATTCGGATCAAGTCCATTTAATTATATTTGGATTATAAGTCATTCAGATTGAGTCTAGTCAAATTAAGACACTTATTACTGTTACGAATGTGATATTAATTATAAAAATTAGAATTGAGGAAATAAATTAACTATTCATACCAGAAACAGAAGAGGCCATCTTCATTGCCTTTTGCTTGCACTTCTCGTCATGAACATCCAATTTCAACACCACTTTCTAAGAAAAAAAAAAAGAAAAAAAACAGCCTTAAAATGGCATACTTGCATATAGCAAAAATTGCACTAGTAATTAAGTTAAAAAACAACAATTAAAAGGTACATTAATTATTATATTGAGATTTATGAAAGGGAAATCAAAATAATGTGTTCATCATTCAATCATCACAATTCACAAAGTACTATTACCTACATTATTAATAGTCATGTTAATAGCGTAACTAGATACTATAACATGAATCTAACGATTAAATCGGGATAGAGGAAGTAATCGAGTAACAATAATACATAATACATGATGAATTGACGATGAATCGCCAAAAAAGGAAAGAAATTAAAAAAAAAAAAAAAAAAAGGAAAGGCATTTTACTTTTTACATACCTTCATTATTCTGGATTTTATAAGGAGAGTAATCCGAGATCTTCGTTGAAGTGTTGTTCAATTTGATCCTATATTAAGAGAGAAAGATGAAGACTTTGAGAAGAGAAAGAGTTACTACTATATGTGATAAATAAAAGATGGAAGTGTATTTATATTGAGATATACTCGTAGACTCGTAGTCAACCAAATGAAGGAATTTAAAGCAATGGGCTCGAGTAGTGTACTCGTACTATGCACCGTCAACACCAATAAAGTGATAACCCTTTTTCCGTGTGAATTGGAGTTTGGATGTTGTTCTTCCTTTACTTGCCTTCTTTGGGAAGTTTTGTTGGCTTCTTTCACAACTTTAAGGTCATGTTATTTTGAGTTTTTAGGCAGATGGGAGCAGATTTCAGCAAAGCAGAACATGTATCAGCAGAGCAGATTGAGTCAGCCAAGCATAGCAGTTCTAAAGGACATAGCCTAGTATTTTTTTTTTTATTTTTTTTTTTAATTTTTTTTTTGAAGATGAGGAGATTTTTAGATTTTACTCGTATTGGGTTATTCTTGAGAACTTGAGATAAGGGATCTTTAGACTCACGTACCTTTCTTAAAAAAATATGTACTAGTAGATGCAATATACAACTTGTATAGGATCATGGTACAAACATTTGACCGCATCGTTTCAATTTGGTTGTATTGTGAAGGATGATTTTCAATTGAATGGAGTGAAATCGTCCAACTTAATTAGGGGTGTTTTACAAGTTGTGTGTGATCTTGTCTGAAGCAAATAGTGTAACCTCATATTATCTGTGTTGGACTGTACTTTTGTGATTCACTAAAAATTACTCACCCCTTTGTGTATTTACTCATATTTATTACTTGTATAGTCTTGTATCGAGTAGTGTACGGTTACAACGAACTTTTGTATCGTGGCAACTGCAAGTCTGCAATCAACACATCATTTTTGTTCCCGAAACATTGTGACAACTTCGGCGATAGTGAGTAAGTGACCAATACCATACTTTCAAAACCGGAATATATCCGAGTTTATGCTAGGCTGTTGATAGAATTATAAATCTTAATCAACATTTTTACCTCACAAAATAAGTTTGCATCAATCAAAAACATTTTCAATTATTTTTTTCCCCAGTTGAATAATTTTAATCGAATTTTCACTTGTTGTGTGCTGTACTGCCGGTAGTTGCGCTCAAAATTTGTCCAGTTATGCTGGTAAGATCATGTATCACAATTATCATTCATTTACTCACTACTCAATACTCATGTGCTAAGCTTACCCTATATACAATTAAGCCTACCACGACTTTTCTGGTCGATGTTTGATCTAGTTTTAATTATTTATTTTGTAAATTTCCCAAGTTTTGGAACTTCCCCAAGAGTAATTTGTAATTTTAACCACTAATTAATGCGTGAAATACTTGGTACGGAGTAGATGTAAATAAGATTATGAAAACTAAGGAATTACGGAGTACTTCGTAAATACTAAGAATTGAACAGGCGTTGATTTTCACTAGTGTTTTGGCATAGGCAATGTTGTGAGCTAAAAATTTTCATTGCTAGAACTCGTAGCCTTATGTCATTCGTTGTAGCTTGAGTATATGCACTACGACTCTACGAGTAATGTAACAAAACTATTTAAATTGAGTTCAGCTTCTTAGAAGACTACACTTTTCTCATGGGTTAATTCTTAATACGTGGACAATAATTGTGGCATTGTGTCCTCGTCACCTCGTGTTTAATGCAAGTGTGTGAATATTATGTATTGCATTGATAAAAGCAGACAGGTTACAACAATTATCAATTGGTTTTAAGATGAAACCTCATTTTGAGCTTTATTAGTGAGTCTTTGAAAGGAGAGATCAACTTCTCTTCGATGGCATGCCTACTATCGACCACATCACCCACATGTGCATAAGTGTGTATTACTCCCTCCCTCCCATAATACTTGGGACGTTGGGTGGACATGTAGTTTAAGAAAACTACAAATGGGTCCACTTAAAACATTTGTTTATTGTATAAAAGATTCTCTTTTGTATTTCTATATTGCAAGATTACAAAAAGTGGGATGGGAGTGGGGTAGGTGAGGAGAGAGAAATGTGGGAAAATATTTTTTTTATTAGTGATGCCATTCTATATTTAGTAATGTGTCAAGTATTATGAGACGGATAAAAATAAAAACTGTGTCAAATATTATAGGACGGAAGGAGTATAAACTTACACATCCTAAGAAATGGTTACAGGAACTCCCATAATATATTAGCAGTATCAATAATTCAATATCATTCCCACGCATGGAGTCATGGATTTGGGATTGTTTCTGGGTTTATTTTTCCCTTGTAGGCTCAAGGATAAAGATTGGGCTCGAGGAGAAAGGTATCCTTTAGATCAAGTTGGGCTCAAAAAAAAAGTAAGTAAAAATTTTGTGGGCCCACAGTGGATCTACTATTCGGCCCATTAGACATCAATAAATCAGTGAGGTGAATATATTGTAACTGTGGAAGGAGTAGTTGCTCAATGCACATCATACTCTCTTCGTCCCTAAATATAATTCTCGTATTCGTTTTAAGGCGTTATGCAAAAACACATTGCTATATAACTATTTTACTTTGAATTTTAACACTAATTACGAAGCTCATTTTGATCATTTTTTAATTATTATAGAAAATAAATATAAGTGCTAAAGATTTTTGGATTTTTTACATGAATTAATATAATATTTTTATAATTTATATACTTAAAAATAATTAAATGTACGGAATATATATTAATGGTCAGAGTCGTGCGTTGTCAAACAACATGCAAACTAAAATGAAACAGCTAAACAATAAAGATAAATATGCATGGTAGGATTGTAGGAATACTACGTAATAGACTAGTAGAGCAGTAGTACTGTAGTAGTAGTAGTAATAATAATTGGTAAGAAGAAGAACGGGCAAAGAAACTTAGCTGCCTACAATGGTGGAATTAGGTAATACAACTTTACAAATACTAAATTTTCTATGAAGAGGAAAAAGAAAATCTATTGATAACTTGTAGTCTTTACTATGTAGGGGAAGATAATGGAACCTCAACCCAAAAAACCTTAAAATTCCATAGAAGAAAAAAAAAAAAAAAATTGAGATTTTAATTGGAAAACTAAAAGACCTCACAACAATACACAACTATAAAGATGGAGTTGATGAGGATTAAACTCTCGCTGTTGGAGGAGGTATATCCATCATACAAATCGTTTGAGCTAATAAGAATTAGTAATAATTATGCACATATTTCCTTTATTTTTTTTTTAATATTTAACATTACGTTGATTATACACTCAAGTATACTTGAAGGAATTTATTGAAGATGATGTGTACACAACACTTACCCTAACTTGTGTGATGTATCACATCTATATCCGTACAAAACGAACATACGACATTAAATGCTGATTACGCTCCACTTGATTAATTGTATAAACGCATAAAATATTAGTAGAATTGATGTCCACCATACATGATAAAAGAGGATAAGATATCATGTGAAAAGTGTAGGCAATTAGGCAAACTAATGTGAAGTAGACCTTACTCAATAACTCATCTTTCAATCAATGTTTAAGTGGCTTCTAATTGTATCGAGCTCAAAAAGTAGCCAAACACAAGCATACGATGGACAATGCTCCACCTTCAAGAGACCACCTAGGAAGAGAGGATATCAAAGCATAAGATATTTTTCACCCATATGTGTCACAATCTTATTAGTCAATTTTTTGCCATAAAGTATTCTCCTACCAAAAAAATTCCTAAAATTTTGTCATCTCCCAACCTTAGGCTAATATGAAATGACACATTAGATATTACTTAACAAAAAAATTAACAACAGTTTCACATTATTTTATACTAATCGATATCGTGTCGACTTTGCATTGGCTAATTAAGTAATTATACTCCCACTTAAAAACTCAAGTCATAACACCATATAAAATCATAAATAAGTATTTTTTTTAAAAAATAAAATAAATTATAAATAAGTATCCTACACTACTTTTTCAGCTGCTCATCATTTTTATTTTCTTTCAACCCTAAAAAAACACAAAAAAAAAAAAAAAAGACTTCTATCATCTTCTTCTGTTATCTTCTTGCAAATTTTCTCTCTCCTTCCCTTTAATGGTGTCGATGAACCCTAGTTCGGCGGAAGAATTCTACTTGGACGCTAATGGCGTCGCTTTGCCAGGATTGAATCCGTTCTCGGCGCCGCCACCGGAGGAATCTCCGGCGTCGGCGGCTACTGCGACGGTGTCTTCTCCGACGGACGATTCGAGTAGTAAGAAGATTAGGAAGCCGTATACGATTACGAAGTCTCGAGAGAGTTGGACTGAACCTGAGCATGATAAATTTCTTGAAGCTCTTCAGCTGTATGTTGAATTTCATGCTTTTTTGTTTACTTTTTTTTGGTAATTTTAAAATTGATTGTTATTTTTTAGGGTTTGTTAGTGATAATTACTTTATTAGTTGTTGATTATGTTGAATTGACTTAGATTGTGCTAGGAAACTCAGGAATTAGAATTAAGCCTTTTGAGTCAATTTTCTGCTATTTTTTCCAGAATTATGAGGAATTTGTGAAATTTCTGTTTAATTATTGTATGATAGTAATGATTAATGTTATTGCGCAAATTTTACTATTTGAGGAATCTCTGGTTGGATGTTTGCTTGGTTTCCCGCTCTAATTTGTGCATCTTGGGGGGGGGGGGGGCGGTGCTCTTGATTCTGGGTGGTGAGTTATCTGATCGATTAGAGTTTATTTTTCGCTTTGAGAATTCGTGAAGATGCGATTCTAACTGGGCAATCAATATTGGGGTTACTTATAAAAACATGTTTCCAGATTGATTGTGTTGGATTTGAGTGTGCACCATACTACCATTGATTGTGTTGGATTTGAGTGTGTACCATACTACCATTGATCAAGATATATAGAGTTTTACTAGGCTCGTAACCTAGTACGATAAGGATACAAAAATATATACAAATATTATCCTAATCTGCGACAAATATTATCATAACTATAATATCTATCACACCCTCGCAGTTATAGCGGGAGGAGGTCGTACGCTAAGACTGGATTTAAAATCCAAAAATAAGTCTCGTGGTAGGCCTTTTGTGAAAATGTCCGCAAACTGATATTTAGAAGGAACATGTAGAACCCATACTTGCCCCAAAACAACCTTTTCTCAAACAAAATGAATATACATCTCCACATGCTTGGTGCGTTGGTGTTATACCAGGTTGCGAGAGTGAGGTATATGCACTGACATTATCACAATAAACAATAGTAGCCCGTCGAAAAGGACAACGTAACTGAAGTAAAAGATTACAAAGCCAACACGCCTCAGAGACAACATTTGCGACGCCTCTGCTTCTGCGCTCGATTTAGATAATGTATGTTTACGCTAAGATGACCAAGAAACGAGGTTGTCCCCAAGAAAGCAACAATAACCCGTATCGGGACAACCTCCACGGTCAGCGTCCGTGTAAGTAATCAAATGATTAACGATGAGAAACAAACGGATATAAATGTAAACCAATATAACGCTGAATGCGTTTCATTGCATCATAATGAGATTCCCGGGGATCATGCATAAATAGACACACCTTTTGTACCGCATAGGCAATATCTGGCCGGTGAAAGTGAGATACTGAAGAGCACTTGATAAACTGCGATACAATGCAGGATCCCGAAAAGGTAGTCCTACATCTACACTAAGTTTGGACTTAGTGTCAACTGGAGTAGCTATAGGTTTACAAGAGCCCGTACATGCACGCTCTAAAATCTCCTCTGCAGACTTTTGCTGAGAAAGTAGCAAATAAGGAGTACGAGTTACCGCAATCCCTAAAAAATAACTTAGAGGGCCCAAATCAGACATAGAAAACTCAGTTTGCAACTGAGATATGATCCCCTCACGCAACCTGTCAGGAGAGGTAGCTAATATAAAATCATCAACATAAAGGAACAAATATGCCATGTCATCACCCTGTTGAAATGTTAAAAGGAGTTGTCACTCTTAGCAATGACAAAGCCCATTCTAATCAAGAAATTCGCAAAGCGCTGGTACCAAGCTCGAGGAGCTTGCTTTAACCCATATAAAGCCTTGCGAAGCCAACATACATAGGTGGGTGTTCTCCGATCAACAAAGCCCATAGGTTGATGCATGTAAACAGTTCCCTTCAAGTCACCATGTAAAAAGGCATTTTTGACATTTAGTTGACGAATCAACCACTTTTTAGCCAAAGCTAGACTAGAACAGTACGAATAGTGACCGATTTAACTACAAAGTTTCATCACAATCCACACCAACTTCGCGCGACCTGTCATTACATACAAGACGAGCTTTGTGTCTTTCAAGGTCACCATTAGACTTGTATTTGAGTTTAAATAGCCACATACAATTAACAATATTCACCCCCTAAGGCTTAGGTACCAAATCTCATGTCCTTGTTTTAATCAAAGCACTAAATTCATCATTCATCACCGCATTCCAATTAGTTTATATGATTTTGGAAAGGGTGATTTATGAAGAGGTGGACCCGAGGATATAAGTGTGAGACATACTTCGGCTTATAGGTTCCCCGTTGGCTACGGGTGACTCGGGGTGAGGGAGGTGGCAGTCTAGTAGGCTGAATTGAGGGGATGCCACGCTGTGGTGGAGGGGAGTATGGTGCTGGCGGGCTGGACGAAGGGGTGGGGGGTAGTAGGCTTTGCGTGCTGGTTGTGGCTGGGGTGTGTGTGCCGCGAGGGGGATGCCACGCTGTGGTGGAGGGGAGTATGGTGCTGGCGGGCTGGACGAAGGGGTGGGGGGTAGTAGGCTTTGCGTGCTGGTTGTGGCTGGGGTGTGTGTGCCGCGAGGGGGTTGCGGTGTATACTGTCTAGCCATTGGGGATTGGGGAGAGTGAAGCACAGGGATTAGGCATGTGTTTTGGGCCGAATGAGATGAGGTATGGGATTGGGTTTGTGATGTGGGCTGAGTGTAGCGCATAAGATAGTGGGTTAGAAGTGGTGAGTTATTGTCAGTCCCTAAAAAGTTGTAATCCTTTAATTGAAAATTTGCCAAGTTTTTATATGGGAAAGTTACTCATCAAAGGTTACATGACATCACAAAATATTTTGTTTGAGGAAAGATCAAGACACCTATACCCACGGTGATTTGGCGGATAACCTAAGAAGACACATGGAGAAGAACGAGGAGCTAGTTTATGTGGAGCGGTAGAAGACAAGTTAGGGAAACATAGACATCCAAACACCCTTAAATGGTTATATGATGGTTGCTTTCGAAATAAAGCATGGGTAGGGGTAATGTTCTCGAGAGCTTTTGTAGGTAAAATATTTAGAAGATATGTTGCGGTCTCAAGAGCATAGTGCCAAAAATTGGGTGGTAGGGAGGCATGGAAAAGAAGGGTGCGTTCGACATTATTTATGGTGCGGATCATGCGCTCCGCCTTTCCATTTTGTGAGGATGTGTGCGGGCAAGAGAACCTAAAAACCATTCCAATATCTAAGTATTGCTTTTTGTAAGGGTCATTATCAAATTCATGGCCATGATCACTTTGAAAGGCCTTAATGGGTCTTTCAATTTGAGTTTGCACATACTTGGAGAAGTTAACTAAAGTAGAAAAGGCTTGAGATTTATATGCAAGAGGGATGGTCCACACGAAGTGAGTAAAATCATCAATAAGAACTAAACAATATTTATGACCATTGGAACTCCAAATAGGAGATGTCCATCAATCCGCATGAATAATATCACAAGCACAATAAGTATGAGTAGTAGAAGCATAAAATGGTTGTCTAACATGTTTCCCTAATCGACAAGAATTACAAAAAGTGGAGTCAAACTCCTTATTGTAAGAAATAAAATTATTGCTCCTAAGAAAACCTAAGGAACTAGCTGCGAGGTGTCCCAAGCGACTATGCCAAGTGGTTGGAGAAGTGACCATGAGTGTTGACGCAAGACATGATGATGGTGTAGGGGTGGTGACTGGGTAAAGGTCTCCTGAACTATTGCATCTCGTTATTATCCTCCCCGTTCGTAGGTCCTTCATAGAAAAGCCATATGGGTCAAGTTCAATAGAAACTGAGTTGTCCGAAGTAAATTTACGAACTAAAATTAAGTTTTTAATGGTTCGAGGGGCTAAAAGAACATCACGAAGGGCCAATTTGTTATTAGGAGAAAGGTGTGACCATAACCCATTATTGGAATGCGATGTCCGTTACCAACTAAAATATTATTATTAGTGCTTAAATTGAACAAGGGCATGAGAATACCTAAATTATGTGTCATATGAGATGTTGCACTCGGCCACGTACCATCCGTTGTCTGTATTTGTCAAACTCATGGTTTAGAACGCCGATCCAAGCTCGGTTGGAGTGTACAATTGACCATATTGGGCCTGTTGAGGCGGGCCGGGGGACGGACTGACCACTTGGTGCAGGTTGCCACATGGGATGCCCAATTGGCCTGTTGTAGTGGGATATGGGCAGGGAGCATAGGCCCAGTTCTCGGGCCAATATTGGGCCGGCCATGGTGAGCCTTGATAAGATGGCCAAAAGTTTTGGGGAGCCCGGTGAGATTGTTGTTGTGGTTGATTCTGCTGTTGCCGGTAATTAGGGGGCTTATTGCCGTTGCTATTCCCACGACCCCGACCTTGACCTTTACCTTTTCCTCCGCCGCTTTTAACACCACCTTTACGACCCCCACGCCCACCGCCGCCTCTGAGTTACGGCTGGATTGAGATGAAGGTTGCGATTGGAAGGGTCCGAATCTTGTTGTGTGACGAAGGATGCCTGCTGCGATTGACCTTGGTCATTGGCTCGGCGTGATTCTTCTAGAAGAAGACGAGACCAGGCAGTTTTAAAGGAGGGTAATGGGTCGGTTTGCTGAATCATTGTCGCCACCGTATCAAAATCGGTGTTTGTGAAACCAAACACAAGACGAATCACCATCTTTTGCTCCGAGACGGGTTCATCAATGTTTGCTAATTGATCGGATAAGGGTTTAAGCTGTTGACAATATGTGGTGATGTTAATGAAATTACTAAGGTGAAGCATATTGAATTGATTTTCAAGATACATGGCCCTAGTGTTCTTGTTATCTTGAAAGATTTCTTTGATACGATCCCAAGTTTCTTGAGCGGTCGACTTTGGAGTCAAAATAGTTTGGAGATGGTCGGTTGAGATTATGCCTTATATCCACTGCTTTACGATTGCATCAAGGCCCTTCCACAAAGCGTTTGAAACCTGTGCCGGATGAGTAGCAGTAGAATCAATGTGATCTAACATATTGTAAGCACAAGCATGATTCTCAAAGAGCTCCACCCAATTGGTGTATTGAACTTTCTGATAACCAAGAACAAGGGGAATCACGTTTTTAATGTTGTTGACGATCCGGGTGAAAATCTGACGACGGTGGGGGCGGTGGTGGAGGTGAGGGATTCTCGTCGTCTTTGGCCATGATAAAACGTCAATAGAGTGCACTAGTGGTGCGGAAAGGTAGTGCATGGGTAGATGCAAAAAGAAGAAAAATAAAAATTTGTGCAAGCAAAACCTAGGCTGTGATACCATGTTGGATTTCGGGAAACTCCTCAATCAGTGTGTGTACCATTGATCAATATATATAGAGTTTTACAAGACTCGTAACCTAGTACGATAAGGATACAAAAATATATACAAATATTATCCTAATCTGCGACAAATATTATCATAACTATAATATCTATCAATTGGTAAGGGTGTTAGGTTATGCTTTAATAATGGTTTAATGTGCATTTTTGTGATATGGTCAATTAGTTACACAAGTAGGTTAATTAGTTGTTTTTGTTGGGAAAGGCAGTCTTTTTTGTCTTTATGCTATGAAGATGAAGCTAGCATGGTCAATTAGGAAACTTTCACGTTTCTGATTATATTGGCCCTCTTCATATCCGCTAAATAGGAGAGGTACCTACTCACCTGGGAAAAATGGCAGATGGAAAATTGTTTTTTTTTTTTTTTTTGGGGCTGATTATGCCCCAAAACACTTTCCAGTCCCCATTTGGTTTCCCAGTTGTCATTTTGCTTTGTGCTTGTTTGATGAGTGACCGTGATCCATTAAAGCTGCTTCATGGAGCAGTCTTGCAACACAAAAAATGATATATATTTAACTCCTTTCACTGGTTTTCTTGTTTGCCTGTCTTGCTTCTATATTTTCCTTTTAGGATTTTGATATATGACTTGCATAGAGCTCAAATTGTCTGATGATGGATACAGAGGGGAGGAGCTTGAGCTTTATACTTTAAGGGCTTTTTGGTTGAGGGTAATTGAGAATAGAAAAGCGAATTATGAACCTAAAATCTCTTTTTAAGTGTTTGGTGGACATTTTCATATATTCCCCTTTCCTTACTTCTCAATATATTTCTTCCCTAACCCCTCTTCATGTTTCCCCACACCCCCATGGGATTTGAATTCTTCAAGTTAGGCATTTTGTGATCTCAACCCTTTCACCATCTTTCATCTAACACCATTAGCCTTAAAATAAGTGCCATCGACAACCTTAACCTATTCACATCACCCATTACATGACCACCGCCCACCGGAAACACTTCAACATCACATCATTGCCACTAAGCCTCTTTCCCAATGCCACTACTTTTCCAAACCACTGTGAATTGTCGGCGCTATTATCAACATACCTACCACCGTGGTCACTTTGCCAAGTAGTGTTTTCGCCAAATTATAAATCCAAAGGTCTCGAGTGTTACACGACACTTCAAATTCTCTACTCTATTATGCTTGAATTTGCCCAAAAAGTAGAGTTGAAAGTCAACCATAAGAAGGCTACTTTGTGGTCTCATTGGTAGTTTTTGCGGAGAGTGGGAGGGAAGATGGTGGTGATGAAGCGTGGGTCATGGATATTGGAGGTTAGTGATAGCTTGGTGATGTTGGGTTTGTGGTAGTGCTAAGATGTCTGTGGTGGAAAAGGGACTATTAAGATACGTTGGGCTTGATGGGTGCTGGTTGTGGTTACTTTTCCTTTTTATTCTTTTTTTCCGCAAGCACTTGAAAATGGAATTCAAGCTCTTTCCCCTCTCCACCCAGACAAGATGGATGATTAAAGGAGTTTTATACTATTCCTTTCGTTTCTCTTTGTTATTTCCTTTCCTCATCTTCAAATCAAACTGCCCCTTATTGTTATTAAATTGTGATGTAAGGAGGGTCTGGCAAACGGAAAGACCAGGAAAGTGAGAAGACTGAGAACTTGGTGTGGCTGCTCATATATCAATTAATGAAGGAGGTGTATGTATCCTTGAGGCGTGTCATAGTAGAAGATATGAACAGTTTATAAGCTTGAAAAGCAGCATACTGAGCATTGCATTTCCCTCATATTTTTCTACTTAGAAGTAAAGTGTCATAAAAATTACCGAACTGAGAGATGAACTGACGAGTAACAGGTAATTGGTAATTCTAACTTTGTAATGCCATGGAAAAGGAGTAGAAGATTACTAACTGTTGTATTTATTAAAAAGGATCTGTAAGACAATAATATAAATGAAGAGATTCAGTGTAAAAGTGGTCTTTGAGGGCTCTGAGATTGATGAGATCAACTACTTGTTGGACTTGTAGTGGGACTTTTGATCATAGATAAGTATTGGTCCACCACCTGGTTACCTTTAAAGAACAGAAATTTCTTTCTTTTTTCGGTTGTTAACCTGGTGTTAAGTTGAAAGCATTGAAATCTGTGGGTTTACATTTCAGCCCAAATATAGTGGGATGAAATTTTTTCCTGGAATTGTTATGGGATTCTGAAACTAGTGAAGCTGGGTGATAACCTTACAAACTACCATAAGTGGTATGACAGGCAGTTTGTTAATTTTTTCTTTCGGTGACCTTTTATATTAGCTATCTGCCCCAAGCCCCCGAATAACATTACACTTATACTTTTTAGCTAAGCTTAAATTTCTATAATATGCGATTCTTCCATATTCACTAAAATCTCTGTTTGATGTATTAAAGTAGGTGTACTAATTCTTTTTCCTTTACTTTCTGTAGTTTTGACCGTGATTGGAAAAAGATTGAAGCTTTTATTGGGTCAAAAACTGTTATTCAGGTAAATTTATTGCAACTCTTCTGGATAATTGAAGCAATAAACGTTTTTCCCAGCAGTGATAAACGTTCATGCTGTATAACAAAAAGCTTTTGCGAAATTCATACTTCGTGTGTATGATTTGCCTTCTTCCAGTTTCTGTGTTAGGTACCTTAGAAGCTAATGGCTACTGTTTAACGCCAAACCTGTTGTCCTTTTCATGAAACACTAGTTTTTTTAAAACGGTGTCTTAGTTTTATCTAACTATGAGAATTCCATATGAGCAAGGACAATAATGATTTAAGCTTCTGCAGATACGCAGTCATGCTCAGAAGTATTTTCTGAAGGTTCAAAAGAGTGGTAGCAATGAGCATCTACCGCCTCCTAGGCCAAAACGAAAAGCTGCGCATCCATATCCACAGAAAGCTCCTAAAATAGGTTAGCATCTGTCACTTCTGAAATTCTGACAGGCAATATGGAACACCCCCCCCCCCACCCCCTGCAGCTATGTGTTTTTGAGCATCTTCCCATGTATTTCTCAAAACAACCTTTCTTTTCTGGTTCCCTTACTGGGGAGGATTTTCATGATGGAATTGCCTGGTTGATCCCTAATTTTGCATTTTGTTATCTTTGTTGCACATTTTGTTTGAAAACACTGTGTGAGCCAGCTCTTGTCTTAATCTTTGTAACAGGTCCATCAGTTTCTCAACCAACAGGTTCTTTGCAATCATCTTCTCTTTTGCTTGAACCTGGGCTTCAAAGGCCAGATTCTACTACAATACCCCAATATCCTAATAACACCACAGCTGTCTCTTCATGGGTCAATAATTCTCAGTCTAATGTGGCAAAAGGTTTCTTTCCTCTTTTTTTTTTTTTTTTTTTTTTTTTTTTTTTTTTGATATTTTACAGATCTACAAGCTGACTTTTCTGCTTTTAGTTCTTAACCTGTTTGAGTTTTGTTTGATCAGGTGAATTAAAACCCCCAGTGCCACCAATTGCAAATAACTGTTCAAGCAGTACTGAGAGCACAGCAATGGCACGCAATACCGGTGGACTGAATGAAGCAGTAAAGCATGCTCCACCATTAAGAGGTGGTTGATAAATTCTCTACTTTTTTTTTGTTTAAGAAACTGAAATTTAGTTCATAGAAAATTTCTAACTATGTCTGATTAGTTTCATCATCATCCGTATAAGTATGTGTATATTTATACCATGCATGAACCATGAGCCAAAGGAATAGCTATGTTTGGTTGTTCATGGTCCCTTGATGCAACGTTCTTCCTCTTTGTGGGTTTTAGCCGGTGGGGCTGATGCAATCACTGTCTTAAATGCAGTTGTTGTAGGGGATATGGTGCTTTAACTTATGAATTGTATACAACAAGGAATGCATGATTTTAACCCTGCTGCTATGTAATGGAATTTTGAATGTATGGCTTTATTCTTTTAATAGGACAAGCTATAGTGTCATTCATGTGTTCCATATAGATACATAACGATATTTTGTTTACTGTTTCTATTTGTGCTAGTCTGTATTATTTGGAAAAAGGTGAGTGATCTACTTACTATAAAGTCATGCCTATATCTGTTGTGAGTTAATTTTGAAAGGCTCTTCAGAGTAGTTCTGTTCTGTTTGATTTTGTTTTGTTGTTGCAAAATGATATATGGTGTTTTTTTTTTACTATGTCCTTGGCTGTTTCCTATATGCTCATTATACTTGTTCTAAGTCTGTGTTGCATTTTCTGCAGTTCTGCCTGACTTTGCTCAAGTATACGGCTTTATTGGCAGTGTCTTTGACCCAGAAGTTAGTGGTCATATGCAGAGGCTTAAGAAGATGGATCCAATTGATGTTGAAACGGTGTGTTCTCATTCAGTTATCTGTCATTGACATGTTGTTGATATGCTTTTTTCTTCTCCTTATTCACTGTAGTTAATTTTATTAACCTTTTGCTTGGTCTTTTCCAAATAATGAGTTGATTAGGTTTATCATTTTCACCCCCCCCCCCAAAAAAAAGAAAAAAAAAAAAAACACTACTTCCCCGGTCAAATCAACTTCATTTAGCTCGTAGATATTAGGATTGGGTCTATGCCTCATCGTCAAGGTATATATAACATTCCTAGTATCTATATGGACTATATCCAAAAGTCATTGATAAGCTGGGTCATCATCTAATCTCTAGACATGGCATAACCCCATCCAAACCTTAAATCAGCTATGTTTCACCCCTATTATAGGCTATGCATTGAGTACTTATGCATCTTTCCAAGGAGGTGCATGCTCCATTTGTAATGATAAGGCATGGTTGAGGCATGGGCACATGTAACATAGAGGCCCGTACCACTGTATTAGTAGACCAAGAATTTGACAAAAACCTCATTCACAGACTAAGATGTATCAAAGATTAAGGTAAGGCCAAGCAAAAGGCTCAGGGAAAGGACTGGGCCAAAGCTAGGATTACCAAGTTCACCTATCGTGCCATCCCTTTTCTTAGTGTGATCTATATCACCCTTTCACATTTGTGGCTTGCTTGAATATTTTATCTGCTACTCTGAAAGTGTAATTTAAAGCTGAAAATTTGCAAGCATGAAATGTCAGTTTTTTGGGCCCTGTTTCTGGTACATTTTTCCATTTTAGATGTCAAAATAATTATAGAAACATTCAGATTAAGCAGAAGACTTTTTATTCTGTATTTATAAAAAGAGGATTGTTTATACAGGGTATAGTAATTTGCTAGCTGGAATTTTTGCCTCAAGGTTATAGATCATACTAGATTTTAGATTGATTTCTTCTAAGTTCTTACAGGAGCCATTACACTATGTTTGGATAGAGAGAAATAGAAGGAAAGGAAGAGAAGAGAAAAGGAGAGATGCATCATCCTTTGTTTGGATATCTAATGTAAGGAGGGAAGAGGAGGGAATTGGAATGATCCATTTTCCTTCCCCTTTTTATAAACCAACTCCCTTCATTGTTGGAGAGATTTGGAAGGAGATTTGAGATTCACCATCTCCCTCCCTTCACCTCCTTCTCCCTTCCCTCTTTTTCCTTCCCCTCCCTTTCCCTTCACTATTGTTATCCAAACATAGTGTTTTTGAATCTGATGTAAGATCTTTTCAGAAATTAGAAGCAAGTCCTGCATATTTAATCTGAACCATAAATGAAAATCACTCTGTAATTCACTATTTTTTTGAAGTTACAAACACTCGTGAGATATCTGGTGTACTGACACAAAAAATTGATGAATATTGGAGTATTAATGTTCAAATTCTAATGTCTTTTAATTCATAAATGTCGCTAGATCTAAATTTAATTTCATTGGGATTTAAGTTTTCTACTTGAGTCAACATGTCTATTGGCCACCATGACTGTAGGTGATGCTTAATTCCAGGTTTTCTTGAGTTTGTTGAAGGTTATACTGAACACATATGAGTCTATGAGACCTTTCACTGGGCAAAAAAGAATTTTGTTGTGACTTGGAGCGTTAGTTGTATTGGGATTTGGGATGGCAAAATATATTAAAAGACAGTAGAAGCAATTGATAGTTTCAAGTCCCTATTAAATCATCTTTGAGCCTTGAGGCCCATGGAACTTCACTGTAATTTGGGAGAGTTTTTTGAACATTAAGCAGCCTCTGGGTCCCCATTAGGCATCAAGACCATAGATGATGCTGGAGCAGACATCAATATGCAAAGCCTATTTTATAAACCATATCTCACATCCTTTAGAAGTAATTTTTAAGTTCTGACAGGAAATCCTTGTGCAAGCTCACTGGGAACCTCCTCAACTTCAAGTCGATACTCATAGAAACTCTATAATTATCTCTTTTTTTTTTCTTTTTTTTTTCTCTGTTTTTTTACCCTTGTTCAATTTCTTTGAAATCTAACTCGTGCTTGATAGCATCTAGCATGTAAAGATGTGCGTGTCATACATTTGCTTTCACAGTTCTCATTGGGAAAATAATTGTATTTTCATAGTATCTTTCTAGTTTCTTGTCTTGATTTAGAGAATGTGGTATGTTGGACTTTTGGTATTGTGGCTTAACTTTATTTGTTTGAACTTGTCCAGGTATTATTGTTGATGAGGAATCTCTCAATCAATTTGAGGAGTCCTGATTTTGAGGATCATGTAAGTAAAAAAAATTGTGTTACAATTGAATTTCTTTGCCTAAATCACCGTTGTTGCTTTCTCTCCCTGTCTTTTGGATTGTTCTTCTTTCTGTCCCATATATGTTGCAAAACATCTGCCTTAGATTTCATATGTGGTTATGGTGTTTTATTTGTTTGTATCTGACCTAAAAACCAGCATATCATGTTCTTTCCCCAGGAAATTTATTAAGAAATACAAACCTCCTTTGACTTGGTAATTGGCCTGCCCTGAGTGAGAGTGTTAAGAGCAGTGGAAGACATCATCCTGGAACCTCAAAGCATCATTCTGGAACTTCTTTCATGCTAATCAAAACCCTTGGGATTGAGTAGGCTAGAATATAGTGGGAAGTGCAATAGGAGTTCACGAATGTTTCCACGTGTGTAAACCAAGTGGTCAAGTGGTGCAGAATGAATTTTCCTTGGAACAGAGAAGTGAGGGAACACACTCACAAGTGAGGGAAAAGAAAGCCTCTATGGGTTGAGCATGAGAACTTTTATCTTGCAGTCCTTCCTTACTGGCCTAACTCTTTTATCTGAAGCAACATGTGACTGAAACTGTATTGTTATACTGTTATACTCTTGCTGATCTAATATGAGTGCAATCGAAGATTTATTCCAGTGTTATTGCATCATGTCTAATGTCAGTGCTTTTTTAGGCTTCTTTGGGCTTAATTATTCTGGCTTTATGAACCGATACCAACTGTCTTATTTCCCTTCTCTACGAGTAAACTGCAGACTGGGATTACTGATGTTACAATGCACCAAGCCTTGTATTCCTGTATTTATATGGGTTCCTGTAAATGTTCTTTGATTTATAACAAAAAACATTCTTTTTGTTAGTTTAGTCCGACCAACTCTTATTTATTTTAAGGATTCTATTGGTTGTGGTATATCCGTATATGTATATTTGATTACTGGTATTTTTGGTATCATAAATGTTTATTTTTTTTTCCTTCTGTTTGTTGACAGAGAAGACTGCTCTCATCCTACGACATTGAATCTGACAAGGGCATTCCTGGTGGCATGAGAGATGTCGTATGTGGCAAGTGATGAGACAAGTATAGTGCTGCGGTGCTGCCATGTCCTACGCAAAAAGGGCAGAACCATGAACGACCACTTTCCCTGACCTTTTTCAGTTGATAATTGGATGTAGGATTAGCCTAGTTTTCTCAGTTTTTCTTCAGTATCCTTTCGTGTATATAGGAGAAATTCGTAGAAGTAGCTGAAATGTCGTTCTACTGGTTGTAAAGCTCTCAGTTTGCTATTGATGGTTTTCATGTATAGGAGGGAGGCTCTGTATATTTGAGGGTTTTTGGGGTCTCAGACATAAAATTCTGTAACTTCTGTGCAGTAAGTTATCTTCTGCTTCTAGATAAACTTTAGTTAAATGTAAGTTGGCTTGTAAATTTCAAAGGCTAATAAGATACCAGACAACTGATCTCCAGCATTGTACATGTTGATTGTCTTCGAGGTTGTAGTATCTTATTAACTACAGTATTAATTCATGCTAAATGTTTATAATTATGTTTATCAATGCCATAATTTTCTGTTGAATGAGGCAAATTCAAGGAGACAGGAATTTTATTTTGTAATTAAATTTCATTTTGGCTAATTTTATGTGTGTGTGTGTTTTTTTTCTTTTGGCCTGGGAGTAGTATTATTTCTATTGCAATGGGGTTGTTGATTTTCCCCAGAACTTATGACAAGACGATGTAAATTTACGTAAACCAGTAGGATGGATTTTGAACACCCTCTTATTTCGAAATACTATCATATACTTCGTGGTAAATTAAAAAAATAACATAAGAACTTCCTAACATATTATCATCATCAACTCTTATTCTCTTCCTCTTTCCACATCTCATCCCAATTCTGTTTGGCTTCTTCAAAACCAAGCAGGGAGCCTTTCTTCTCAGCATCCCAACTAGTTGATAAAGATCCATATGGAACACCAAGAACTGAGCTTCCAAAGAACACAAATGTTGTTAAAAATGATACCCAAATAGGCACATCCCACAACTGTTTTTCTTTCAATATGTCAAAGAGTTTTAGCAACAGCACCCCCATTACCATGGGCGCGCCCACTGAGGTCAAGATCCTTCTTACCATCCTATCGAAAACAACCGATGGGATTTTATCATCGTCATCTTCTTCTTCTTTGTCTTCTTGACTCAAGCCTTTTTTTGGTGCATTTGCCTTCTTCTGTATCGAGTCATTTGCACCCCCAAATCCTTTGGATTGAGCATGCAACTTCCAAGAGCTTGTGGAATGTGAATGATGGTTATTTATTGTTGTAGAGTAGAATGGTTGGCTTTTTTGATCCCATAAAGATGGTTTTGTAATGCAGACGGGTTGTTGATGAAAGGTAACCAAGGTGTTCATGCTTTCTTCTTGGTAAGCACTCTAAGTTTAGTGCTTACCATACAATGCAAGATAATGCAACATACTTGTATGTTTGGAATATTGTCAAGGTTTATCCGAAAACAAATGGGTGGTGGTGACCTCATATGGTATGTATCAAGTCGAGCTTTTAAGATATTTTCAAAGAACCTTTTTGTCTCATTGTTCTATCATCCTTTATTCAAAATTTTAAGGAATCAATTATCAATCAACCAAACAAAATAAACCAAGACAAAATTCACAAAATGTGGCTTAAGTAATTACTACTTGTATTATTTGTGCTTGGCTTTTTATCTAAATTCTCCCCAGTGCAAATTAGATGGTGCACCTAGATAAATTAAATTCTTTATACCACTCACCCCTTCTTAAATTACTAATAAGGAACCAAGAATTAAAATTTATCCAAGATACAAACCCTTAAACAGAGGGTTATATACTTATAGTCTTATATAATTATATTGTACATAAACGTAATTACATTGATACAAACATACAATGATACAATAAAAGTAAGTATTATATTTTACAAAAAATATTATTATATTATTTTAAAACATTTTTATTTCGTTACCCCCTAGCAATTTCCCAAACTTTTATTGTTTGACTAAGGTTTTTTTTTTCTTCTAATGCAAGTATAATTCATTTTGAGACTAAAAGCTTTGTTGTAAATAATTATAATCTGCAGGCATGGGGTTTCATAGTTATTCTGCTTGTAACTACATCTTCTCCTTTGACAGTCAGATTATATTCATATATCAAGTTCAGAAAGGCATCCCAAAAATACTACCATACATTGACAATATGTGGGAGTCCTTGGTTCTGTACTATACAGATACAATCAGTACATAAAAATGACGAATGATACGTGTGGGCCAGCATGTTCTCTAAAAATACATGATCAACGCCGCAGCTTCTCATATGAATTAGTTGCTACCTGCCTCAGTGGAGAAGTACGCATAGGACTACCTGAGTTTGTAGAGGGAGAAGGTAATCTAGATCTCATCGGAGAGCTTAATAGAGATGGTCTAATCAAGGGAGATGGAATAAATGCTTGAGTAGGAGACTGCAGGATTGGAGTATTATGATATGAGGAATGAGGCGATGCAACTGGACTGTGACTAAGATGAGAAACTGGTGTGGCTCCTGCAGATCTTGGGGATGATCTTATGACAGGCAACATATTGATTCGTATCCTGTAGTAGCAGCAAATTATGTTCAGAAAAGGAATAGTGACTATTCTTTCCATACTAACATAGTTTGCATCATTCACTAGATGTAAGTAGTGAAGAGTACTAAAACTTAGGTTTGTAAGAAAATCAAGATAGATTTATCGACCATCCTTGCACTATAAATCATCATTAATTACAACAAATTACTGGTCACAGTGCATAAAGTTTAGCCTCAGAAAGTTAAAAAAAATGGTACATGGGATGATATGGATGAAGAGAATGCTTCAAGTTAACAAAATAATGATACATATTAAGTAGCCTCTTACCTGTTGTGTACATCGACATAATCGTCAGTCTCGTCAAAAATTTCCTCCTGTAACACAATGTGCACAGCATTATTGAGCACATATTAGCAACGATGAAAAAAAAAAAATCAAGCAAAGAAGATGACAGCTAATGCCAAGATTGTAGGTGAGACTACTTCAGCTTCGTGCCATAAAAATGCTAAACAATACAATATTCGTTGCTATACCGGTGATACAGACATGATGAAATGCATTATTTTCTTCAGTTGGAGCCATAAAAGTGTGTTTAAAAAATGCAAGAGCTCTCAGGCTTTACAAACATATATGAAGTATATAGAATACGTGATATTTCGATGTTCATGGGAGTCTTATCATAAACTTCAAAAAGTACTTAAACCACCCAGCCACCCCCCCCCCCCCAAAAAAAAAAAAAAAAAAAAAGGTGATTTTCTGACTATGCAAAATATCATCAGCTATCTCTGCACTAGGAAGCAGTAAGAGAAGGAAAGTAAACAATACGGAGTATTTAGATTTACCTGCAGCAATTCCTCCAAAACGTCTTCCATTGTGATGATACCAATAACTTCTTCACTGGGATCTGGACAAGAATCTAGATCAGGTACCTGCAGAATAGCATCTTCATGATGCAGAATTATATTTTTTCCTAGCTCCATTGCATCAAGCATTGGAAGACTATGCGGTCCGGTTTTAGTTGAATGCACAATGGATGTGTTCCTCGATGTTTTCTTTTGTTCTTTTCTACAGTTTTGATGATTTGCCCCTGTGGAAATGTGTATAGCTTTAATGTCAAACATCTCTGCAAAATCTACTACTGCATCAGCAGGAAAGTTCGCAGATTTATGTCACCTATTCTAACCATACCTTTTCTTCCTGATTGTTCAGGTCTTGGGATTGCATTCGCCTTCTTCACAGTTATTGCAGAATTGGATGTAGCATCTGACATATCTTTCACGCCTTGTTTCCTCACAACTATACCCATATGACTATGACCCATTTGAAATAGGTTCAGTATATCGTACAGTGGCAAGTGATCATAGAATCTGTAACAGTTGGAATGCTCATTAGATAGCTAAAGAAAAAGATGACAGCATGCACATGGCTACAGAGTGAAGACAGCCACACAAGATATGCATATGGCTATAAATTAAGATAACCATTGTTGGCTTTTTGCCCCCCAAAAATGGATTCACTAGTTTACACCGATGCAGAAAGGTAGTCAAAATAATGCATATGAAATGAGCATCAAATTCAGGAACTTCTGAGCGACGTAGAAAGGTCAAACCTGGAGATCTTTCTAATAGTGAGATTTCTTATTGGAGTTTCATCTTCAGGTCGGCAAACAACCAAATTTTTTACCTGCAATTGAAAAAAAATTATTGTCAAGTGCCATGAAAATGCATGCATGAAACTACATAGTCACGTACTACATACTAATGTAAATAAGAAACGAAATGTTTTTTGAGTTGTGAATAATGATTAGGAGGAAAGTTATATAAGAGGAATCAGATAATCAATACCAAGGTACTGATTCAAGGGACAATCTTTCCCAAGCTAAGTTTGGTAAGCCGACAGAAGTAATTTTGTTTGTGTTTGGAAATGAAGGTAATTTATCAATCAACTAAGTTTCATAAGAAGTGATGATTTCTAGGGAGCTAAAATTTCCAAATGAAGTCTCCATCAAATCAAGAGGAAAATATTTCTTGAAAAAGAGAAGCTATCATTTGCAAACAGAACAGATTTAAATGGAAAAAAAAAATCTAAGAAAACTTGTAAATGTGCCACCGTGGAAGGAAGAGGGAGTATGAGAGAAAACAGAGGAGAGAAGTGAAATGTGATGATGAGTTATTGACAAGAGGAGAGAGAGTTGCTCAAATAGCTACCATAGGGTGGGCAGAGTAATGTAATACCCTTATTCAGTGGGTAAAAATTACAAGTCCAATACTTTAGCCTCAATCTAGGCATACAATTATTTTTCACCCATCCCATACTCCCCACCCCCCAAAAAAAAAAGAAAAAGAAAAAAAAAAAGAAGAAAGAAACCACCACCAATTACACCCAATCCAGGAGACTCCATAGGAAAAATTACCGAGTAATATTTTATAATCCCTACTCCCTTACCAAAATAAGGCCTATGATATTTGAAGGGCAGCCAGAGTAAATAGGCACTCGACTATGCCCCTCCCTCATTATCAGCTCCATTGTATCCCTGAAAACAACCAGTGAAGAAAATTTGAGAATGGAAAATGTGAAAAAATACAACACCAAGGCTAATGAGAAAGCTCACTTGTCAAGTTTAGCATCTATATCAAGGGAAAATACTTTAGACATGTCAGTCATAGCATCTTTAGCAGTCTTTGTTGTTAAATCCAAAGCTCCACCAATGATAGTAGTTTCATCTTGAGTCAATTCCCCACCTTTGCCTGCCTGATGTAATAAAAATATCTCTGTGTCATGACACTTGTATCAATTATTAGCATGTAGTAAATTTACAACAAAACCCCTTTCTTCTAGAACACTATACCAATCAGACCTTTACAGCAAGGAATATAATTGTATAAGAAGTAGAGGATTCACTGCATACCTCATTAGCATGCAGGTCCACAAAAGTTTTCAGCTCTGAGCGTCTTAGCAAAGCAGAATGGCCTCTGCCTAGCAACCAGTCCAACAGCTGCCATGGCATATATTTGGTACATAGGAATTTGGCATATAGGATTAAACAGGGAGACAGAAATACCCTCCACATTTTAATTACTATTCTACTATGTACTGAGTATCAAGAAGAGAGACAAAATAAATAATTCCTCCATTTCTAAATAGATGCATCATGTTGACAAGACATATTTGTCAATGAATTACTTTGACCATTAATATCTTTAATATGCTTCGATAAAATTCATAAGATAAATTATATTTTGAAACTACACAATGAGATTAACTCAACAACGATTAAAATAAATAAATTTATTTATATATATTATTAGTAATAAAAGGTGGTCAAAGTTAGTATAGGAATAGTGTCAAAACTCAAAAGTCAATAAGATGTTAATATGATGCATCTATTAAAAAATTGAGGAAGTATATATTAATAAAAAATAATAATAATCATTCTTTTCCTCTAGAGGTCATAATTATCTCAGACTATAGTATTTACCCTCCACAATTGATACTTCCTTATTTTAAGTATCTTCAACTGGTTAAGAGATTAAGTAAAGTGTTTCTCGCTTATGTTTTCCGCCCCTCCACAGTTTTCAACACACTTTCTGGTGGCTTATGAGGCAAAAATACTTACCTTGCTGATAGGATAAGAAATGGGCAGCAGTAGAATGACAAGTACACGGACCAGAACAGAAAGTTTTGCACCCACACTTAGTCCATACTGAGAGCAAATGGATTGGGGAATTATCTGAAATTTAATCATAGTGTCACTATTAAACTTTTATTACTGCAAAAGAATCCAAAACTTGGGGCAGGGGCAACAAACAACGAGAAAAGGAAACGACTTCTGAAAATTTTGCAATGATGCATATTGTTCCCAATTACCTCTCCAAACGCAAGTATAAGAGTGACTGATATCAATATGGAAGCCCACGCAGGGAGAAGCGCATCAAGGAAAATTGGCAAAGCCTGGAAGAGAAAAAAATGGTGAAGGAAGAAAATGGCAGGTAAGACAACCATCGATACATTCAGTTGCAAACATACCTCCATTGCCATGGCATTATATATGAGGAGGGTGCAGAGTAACAAGTGCTGATTTTTAACAAGAGGCAAAATCTTCTCTGTAATGATCAGGAAATGCAAAAGAAATGAGAAATTTGTTATGTTTTCAATGTTAACTGTCAAGGACTATTCTAAATAATAACCTAAGAGAAGAAATTGTTATACAGAGACCTGCATTTCTCCTGTCCTTGGGCTGGCCAGACTTTGAAAGAACCTCAAGATCAACTAGGCTGAGAGACATGAGCCCTAGGGTAAGACCTGACATAAGACCAGCAAAGCACACTAGAGCCACACATATGATCAGATAAACCCAAAACATGGTTTCACAGCAAGGCACATCATTTGCAGCCATCTTCTCTCGGAAACAAATGCAGGAAACTTCACTAGAGATGCCTTAATAAGGGAAGTTCCTCAACGAGAAAACATAAAATGAACAAGAAGCAAAAACCACTGAAGGTTCATATAGAAACGGAAAAAAAGGTTATTGGGAATATAAAAGGAATAAAAGTGAAGCACAACTTGAAGAAGATAGCATTAAAACAACTAGAGAGAATAAGGCGCAGAGTTCAACAATCTCAAAAGAAAGGGCGACAAAACAGACAAACCAAAAGAAACAAACCCACAAATTTTAAACCCTAACTGCCAAAAGTTAATAAAACAGTAACTATCACGCACTTTATACTACTTAAATTTATAAACAATAACAATCACCCTATGCAGGATATGTCAACTCTAAGGAAGTCAAATAACATAACCTAGCCTCTAACTAGTACTAACTTCATTTCACAACGATTTTAACATTTGCCATTTGGGTCCGTTTTAAAAAACTCTTAACATGGTGCTTTATTCTGTTTTTGGTAGACCTCATTCACTATCTTACCGCACAGCATTTACACCTTTTCACTCGCTCTCTATTTCTTTATCTACCTTTTTTCTTACACTCACGCACCTTTTCACTCACTCTTTTTTTTTACTAAATCCATCTTTTTCTTATACAATCAACTTTTTACACACACTCTTTCCTTTGTTTAATATTTGTGCAAATAGTATATCTTAAGATCATTGTGAAACGGAGGTAGACTAATTTTAAAAAGCAACTGTATGCAATTGGCAATTACCATGCCAATTTATACTCATAATCATTTCCCTCATCCCTCATATTAAAATGATTGGTAAACCAATCAAAAGTACGCATTCTAACTCACTGCAAAAATATGTAATAAATAATTTGTACCAGTTAGACCCTTTAATGATACACGTTTATTAAAAAAAAATTAAAAAAAAAAAAATTAATTCTTTACAAGGTTACAATTTCATAGGAAATACGGAGTACAAGAAGTTTATTGGGCTTCTTAAATCTAGTCCCCATAACCCAAAGCTATAATGTTATTAATAACTTTTGCAACTCCATATAAAATTGACAAGTATACCACAAAACTAAGGAGGCTTAATAGAAAATACAATTAACAACTACAGCGGAATTATTACAAATAAAATAGTGAACCATTACCTTAGTGGAGGTACATCAGCAATTGGTCTCAATATGCAAATCGAGTGGTCCTTCCATATCAATGATAATTATCAGTCCGAGAATAACACATCTTTCTGATGGCAGAAGCTTATAATATGTAATTATGTAAAGCTTTTCCATCTCATCATCAACTCCAAAGAGCCATGGATAATCATGAGCATATTCATCCTGCCCGGGATTAATAGCTCAAGATTTATATTAGAATGCGAACTGGTTTAAACCTGGAGGAAAGTGAATTACGTCAACACATCATTGGGAACCTGATGATGAATTGTTCAATTATTCTGGTTTCTTTGACAGAAAAATAACATAATAATCTTTGTTTATTTTCCATACATTAGAATCTACAGGTATTAATTGAAAAGTAACAGAAGTAGACTGAAAGTGAACAACTAATATGTAGCTAAGATCAACGAGTCACCAATGCAACCTGTACGGATGTACCATATACCTTCATAGTTTCGTCAGCATAGTTGTGACTTGTATACAACCACAAAATCATGAAAGGATCTAATGACAGATACAAGTTACTTGGATTGACCCCCAGAAAATGTAACTGTGAAAGTATAAACTATAAAGTATCTTTGTTTGTTACTACATGTAATCACGAACTACCCTAAATGGTGATATATGAATTTCTCCATGCCACCTAATGACTGACAAGAAGATCCATCCAAAAATGAATGTAGTGGGTTGATTAATGCCTAAAGATAATTCCAGAATGTCAATAACAAGCTATTTATAATTGCCGAAAGGCAAAAGCATCATAAAGACGCACACTTTCCTATCCATGTTGCAATCCCTCGTTAACCTACAACATACAATCAAAATGAACATAAGGTTAGGTACAATTAGCGATTAAACTATCTAGAATAGTAGTTTCCATGATATTTCCCAAGCTTGAAAAAAATGGCACGTACATGCAAAAAGGGATTGATCTTTCCATAACAGCCATTGGCATCATTTTCAACTCCCACTGTCCAAGAAAAATAATTTACCACTACCAATTTGATAAGCAATTCTTATAATAAGTCATGCCACAATAGTATTCTCTGTTTTTATATTTGTAAGTAAAGGGTACGTGTCAAACTTTTAAGACTTCTCAAGCACCTTTCAGGCTTTCACAACTAAAAACAATCTTACAAATTCACACAATATAATAGATTTGTATTTATATATGAATATGTCACATAATCACAGGTATCCAAAACCAGTACAATGTAAGCTCAGCCACTTTCATTAATTTGCAAATAATTGGAAAAAATTAAAGCATCCATTTAAATATAATCATGTTGAAGTGCCTAAGTACCCAACCTATTAATCATACAGATGAACTATCAACAATATCATCCTAAATGTCACATTAAAAAACCCATCAGGAACAACTTCTACACTAGTCTTGACTAATAATGGGTAATATCGATAAGATTAAACCTAACAGCAACAATGTCAAAGCCTTAATCCCAAAATCAAATCAATTCCAACCTTCCACTTGCAATTCCAAATTAAAAACCTTGTCAAGGCTACCACCGGTGTACCACCCTAACATCATCATAACTCGGATATCTCAAATAAAGCACAAATCTTTAAATCAAATGGTTTTGGTTTTTTTTCCATTATGGTTTCTTTAATTTTAGCAATTGAAAAAAAAAATTAAAAAATCAACCCATAAACAGCATACCAATTACAAAAATATAAATAAAAATTAAGTAACTAGTTAACTGAAAATCTAAAGAGCTAATATTATAATCTTGGATATACAAGGAGTGGGACTTGGCTCATCAAGCACCACAAAGATAAACACATTTAACTAAAGAAACCAAACTCAATTAAAATAATTAGGTTCTGAATCCAACTATACAAAGCCATAATTAACCAATAATTTATTTCTAAAGCACATAAAAACCCAAAAAAATGTAGCACCAAAAAGTTGTAATTTCTAATTAAAAATAGAGTGGAAATATAATTATGGCATACAATACATCAATGGAATTGAAAACATTAAACCAAATTAACAAGAACACTGAAGCTCACCTGTTTTTGGTGCCCTTTGGTTTAATTAAGGGTTAGGGTTGGAATCGCCAACTCTTCCACGCCAATTTAACATCAAACGACGCCATGCCAATATGGCATGCCCTCTTCATGCTTCCTTTTCTTATTGACATTTTCAGGAGTTTAAAAGGATGCAAAGGTTAATTATTTTATTTACTCCAACCTTAACCCTCAAGATTTTTTTTTTTTTTTTATCCAATATTTGCAGGTCAGACACTTGAGAGTGGGGGAGGCTAACATATCTTCACCCCCAAGTACGGCAATTAGGAAATTTTGACCACCTACGTCAAGTCTGGCATTATACTTATCAAATGCGGCCGTGTTTTAATAAGTGTTACACTTCTTTTTAAACAAAAAAAAATATTACTCCGTACATTTTAATATTTTATCTTTCTCTCACGGTCCCCATTCAAACCTCCTACTACCTTTTTTTTTTTATTATTTTCTCTCACATTCATTACTATCTTTCTTTTACAATTTTTAAATACTCCAATTACCCCTACTTACCTCTTATTTTATGTCGATTAAAGTGTAACACTTATTAAAAGACGAGGGAGTATAACACTTATCAAAACACGGAGGGAGTAGTTACTCCAACCTTTTAATTTGTCCCATTTCGGATCTTTTGTTTGAGAAGTACTTCGTTTGGTTGCATAGACGTAGCGATTAAATACGAGTGCAATCTATGGAAAGTTATACGAAGTACAGACTTAGAATGTACAAGTATTATAATCTTGTTTGTTTGACGTAAAAAAATTGTATGTAATATGACAATTTTTATTGTTTTAAGTTGGAGTGACCAAGAGGTAAGTAAATTAATTTCCATATTTTGTAGAAATTTCTCAAAGAATATCAAATTCACACATTTTTACTTTTTTATATAAACTAAACAACTATATCTATTAATGAATTTTACATTTAATTTTTTTTACGGGAATTTTACATGAATTTAATACCCCTATAATTTTAGTGCAACCTAAAAAGACATTAATTTTTTTTCCCTTGATTGACAAGACCTTAATTTTATTATATTATTGCATCATTCAATACGGTCTCTAATCATTTATAAAGTATTCCGTAATAAAGAATAATATAATAATAAAAATGGTATTTTAAAATTATCACCTAAACCGTTTTAAGGATCAAATGGTAATTGTATTAATATGTCAGAAATTAATGGAATGGAATATTTATAAACGATTGGAATTAGTATTTGACCCTAACTATTGCAATAGAAAATGGTTTTCAATGCTTTAGGTGAAGGTGAACAATACTTATTAAAGGGTTTTGTAAAATTATGATTTTATTAGTACATGCAATGGGCCCCATTACCCAGGCCCATTAAAATCTTTACTTCAACACACGACAGGTTTATATGTTGTTGGTAACACACTAACACACCGCCCTTGATTGCTGTACTTTAATACAAGTAGTTTAATGTAAAGTGCAATAATTCAATGGTTTTTCTAAAAAGATCTATAAAAATAGTACATTATTAATCAAACATCATCCTGCATACATTTTGCTCAGCTCAGATCAGAGTGTATACCAAGTAGATATTATCATTTATCATATTACCTTAAATGCAAGTACTCAACGCAAGCACAATATTTAGAAAAACGGATGGTAAAACTTAAACTTAAAACTAAATCGAAATAGAGGAAGTACGTAGTACCACTAGAACGTACTGCGTAGAATAATATATAGAGCGCTCATTAACTTTAAACTTTTATCGAGTAATAAGTGGTAAAAAATTTGAACTATAATAATAGATTCGAAATCTTATTACCATTGGGCTCAAACTTTCATACAAATCGAACTTGATTCCAAATTGCATGGGTTGGGCCCAAGGGAGTGTTTGGACGTGACTGTAATTGAGTACCAGTCTATTGTTTTTGGGCTAAATCAGGGTCATGATGCTAGCTAATTAACAACGGCCAAGTTCATATTTTTCCAAAGGGTTGGCCTGATGTCCAATGCACAAAGCATATACTTGTAATTTTATTTTTACGCGTTGCTGACTCACTGTAATAAATTTACGTAGTACTGTATTAAATAAATAAGAAAAAATAATCTCTTTAGATTGAATTATTTAATCAAAATTAAATAATAAATAAAAGGTCATGATTAATCCCCCCTTCCCCGTTGTCCTCAAATGCTCATCACACATCATCATGGTTTTTAGGGACACAAAAACTTCATGGTTTTTAGGCTATGGTTAAAAGTGTTGTACTCCATATCTCTTTTTTTTTAAGCATGTTAATTTTGTTCATGTTTTCAGAGAAGCTAATCTTATACGTCACGTGCTAACCTTAACAGGCTTAACCTCTTTGGAGTACTCTACTAGAGTGTGGGTAGGGGCTCGTCCAAGTGTGATTGAGGGGGTTGTTTCTTTTGAGACTACTATCTAAACTTTTATACAAGAACTCCGTAATAATTAGTGGCATGCGGCTGATAATTGTATACGGAGTATGTATGTATATTGAGCTAATTCAACTTTAAGACGATGTCATTGGGATGAAGATATTTGAATATTGTGACGATGATGTAGATCAGTAGATGAGCATTTGGGGATAAAGGGGAAGGGGTGATTAATCATGACCTTTTATTTATTTTTTAATTTTGGTTAAATAATTCATTTTAAAGAGATTTTTTTTCTTTATTTCATACTACGTAGATTGATTACAGTGAGTAAGCAACGCGTGAAATAAAAGTACAAGTGTATCATGGCTCTGAAGAAGGGTGAAACTGACCCCATTTCGTCTCGTTTACCTTCCTTCCTTTTCGACTGGTGGGACGTGCATAACTTATCGATTATTTATATTTTTTAATAGTTGAGAATAATTCTAAATAAACGTGTTAGCTTAATAGTTGAGATTAAAGCAGAAACGTAACAACTAACACACGCACCAAACTTCAACATTATTAATCAAACAAAAATCCCGCAAAAAGCTAGTCATCATCCTCATCGTCGTCCTGATATTCTTCCACCTTCTCTGCAGCCTCCTCAACAATATGATTAGTCCACCCAAAACTCCTGCAGCCTTCAGAAAAAAAAAAATTAATAATAATAATAAAATTGTGACCTTTATATCTTCTACAATCTCCTTACCTTTTGATCATAATTTTTTTAAAAAATCCGTGTTTTAGATTATCATAATACACGCTACTAATGCTATTTTTGTCCTTAAAACTAACAAACAACTTGATTTTTACATAAATTAATATTATCGAACCCTAAGGACGAAAATTGTATACATATTATGGAAGTAGATTCGAAAACCCAATAAAAATCCGATCTTTGGACGACTTGTTGGTCGGAATTTTGGTTTGAGTTCCGACTAGATTATACAAGATTTTGGGGGTAGCTAATTAAGATCATAAATGAAAAACAATGATGAATATTTAAAACATAAAAAAAGATTTTCAAATACAATAGTTATGTATTCTTTAACAAACACATATATTTATAATTATACATACATTATAGCACATTTTGACCTTTTAAAAGTAAAAGGAGGTCTTTTTTGGAGGAATGACACAGTGGGTAAAACATTTTTTACTCTTTTTTAAAAAGTACTTCTTCCATCCTTAGCGTTCTTTAACTTAATAACAAGAAAATTAGAATAAATAGATTAAATATAAAAAAAGTTAATTAAGGAGGTGAGGTTCATTTAGATAGTAAGCTAATAGTTAGCCATGGAGGCTCAAAGTAGTTAAAATGACAATCAACCTAATGTCATATAAAATCTTATATGACATATCAACCTAATTTGACAATTAGCTTGCTATTATAGTTGCTCTAAATCAAAGTAGAACATGTTTTTTTTATTTTTTTTTTAAGTTACTTTACAATCAACAAAACGAGAAAGCATATGTTACTTCCTAGTCCTTAAACTCCTTATTAATGTATTCTGATGGTTTTTTGCTTTGTTTGGTAATGTTCAATAATTTTGAATATCGACATCAAAAGTTATCCATAACAGTTTCAAAGTCAAATTATAGATGCCAGTCATGCCATCTGGCATATGCCTCCAGTTACCCACTACAAGTTGGACCTACAAGATCACAACGGCTCAACTTGCAATGCAGATTGTAGAATTTATCGAACCACTTTTAGCTAGACATATCAAAATTTTAATTGATTCGAAATCGTTAGTTTTGGAACATGAAACTTACATAAATGGGCCTAATTCAACACAACATGACTCCATATCAACCCAACTATTTAAGTAAATATATTTATTATTGTAAAAAAAATATTGTACTAAAATGGATAGGAGTATTACCATATAGGTTGAAATCCAATCAAATCTAAATTGAATTAGTAACTCAAATTAGCTCGAATTGTAATTTTTTGAAAATTTGGATTTTTGAATCCGAATGATTATTTATTTATTTATTTATTAAAAAAAGTTTGAATCCAAATAAATTGAACAAAACGAAATATTTTAGAAGTTTAATATTGAGTACTTTTTTTTTTGGTTTAAAAATACGTCCTTTTATTTTTTGCACTATTGAATGCAGAGTCTTGTTTCGGGGTTTTTTGTATCCCTTGGAAGAATTACATCACTAAGTCTGGATTCTGGGCGCCTGTATTTTCAAGATAACGGAGACTTCGGGTGGTAGGAGCTCCGCCTCCGACGATCAAGTTAGAACCGATCGAAGAATGTAAAAAGGTGCGAAAAAGGTAAAGTGAGATCTTCTCGGATTCCGAGATCAGGTGTTTTCTCTGATGTGAGAGAATTCAGTGTTTGCAATGAATGAACGTGCCCCTGAAATGGGGGAAATCTCCCTATTTATAGGATCATTGGAAAATGTGCCCTCTCTTAGGTCATCTTGACCTAGATTTGGTGGGCTGCGCCGTTTTACGGTTTTGTCGAAAATTGGACCCTGAAGGCCGCCTTTTTCCTTTGCTGATTGGGGGTGCCACGTGTCTGCTGGTGAGTGACCCTTATTGGACCCGTCTTGTTGGGGTGACACGTGTCCCCTTCTGATTGGGCCACGTAGCATGGGTATTTTTACCCAAATCAGGTCTAATAACACTTACTAAGGCCCTGTTTAGTTCACCTTAAAAAATAATATTTAGTAAAATAATTTCAGTTTAGCAGAATAAGTTTAGTTCAGTAAAATTAATTTCAGTTCAGTAAAAATAATTTCAGTTTAGCAAAAATCAGTAACTCTTAAAAGAAAATATATAATAGAGAATCAGTTAAATAATTTTAGTTCAGAAAAATAATGCAAATTTAGTAAAATTTATTTCAATTCAGCAAAAATAAGGTAAAGTAAATCGGGCCTAGGAATTATTAATACGGGCTACGAATAATATATACTCGTAAATCGGAATTAAAAAAAAAAACCTAAAAAATTGTACTCCTAAGAGCAATCGAGCATAATCAACATAAAAGATCAGAGAAAGTTGACTCCTACCACCATATGCGCAATTACGATCACTCCTGACCGCATTCACTGCGCCACGAACATTTCAGTGACACAGCCAACGAAACCGAGAGAGAGATGCATGCGCTAAACTCTCTAGCAATGGCGTGGTTCGCCAACACAACTGAGAGTTATTCATTAGCCTCTGAAATTGATTTCGGGACGATTTCGTGGTTCGTCTATGCCGGCTTATGTGTAGTATTGGTTCTATTTGCTGGTCTTATGTCTGGTTTAACTCTTGGTTTGATGTCTTTTAATCTTGTTGATTTGGAAATTCTTGCTCGTAGTGGTACTCCCAATGAACAACAACAGGCAGGTTAGATGATTCCTTTTGATTTATTATTAAAAGCGAATTCTAATGATTTTAATCAGAGTTTTGGCAATTTTAATATCTGGGGTTTGTGCGCGGATGTTAACTAGCTTAGTTGGTTAAGGTCGCCGGGATGGATGGTGAGTGGGTATGATTGATTTAAATGGTGTGAAATGGGGGTTGGTGTTCAATAATTTGTTCAGGTGTTTATATGATTTTACTTGAAATGGGTAATTTGTTGTAGTTGGTACTGATTAACTTGTGTTTTTTTATCCAGCTTGTATTCTTCCTGTTGTTAAAAAGCAGCACCAACTTTTAGTGACATTGCTTCTATGCAATGCAGCTGCCATGGAGGTACTTATTTGGATACTGATTTTTTGTACGCATAATTGAGCATTTAGATCACTACTTCTGTCTTACTATTTTTTTTTTCCGCCTGAATCTCGGGTTTGCTGTTGTTTCCGATCATCCTCAGTATTATTAATTATTGTTCTTGAGGTGGTTGTTGTTGTCATTGTCTTCGTCTTGTACTCTTGTTCAATTGTGAACTTAAGCAAAATATAATTTGTTGCTTAACCTCAAGGTTATAAAAAAAGTGTGAAGGAATAATGGCAACTGAACAGTATATGAATACAATAGTTTGTATGGAAGAAATGTAGACATATACTACTTTGGTCTTCCCACAAGAAAATGATTTGTACTAGGATGGCTGGATGGACATGTATATAATGGAAAATCTTCAAAAATTTTGTTCTAGTATTTTTTCATACCCCTTTGTTTGTACCTCTTCCCCATGATGTTTGGATGCTTGTTGCATACTTGCATATTTGGGCTAGTAAAAAAAGGATGTCGTGCTAGGGGATCATGTCACCAAGTTAGGGGCGGAGGGAAGATGTGTTGCTTGGATGTCTTTTATTGACTCTGCTATGTTGATCTCATTGGCATATTGCTGTACCATTATGCTATACTGTCTATACAATTTCTAGTAACTAAGAGCTTTACCTGGCTTTAAAGTATTCCGAACTGATTATGTTATCATCTTTCCCCTGAATGACTCTCTTTTGTTCTGATTTTTACCTGCAGACACTTCCTTTATACCTGGACAAGCTTTTTAATCAGTATGTAGCTATCATTTTATCTGTAACATTGGTCTTATCTTTTGGGGAGGTATGTAGCTTTGGACTCTGTTATCCTTCTGTTGTTTCTATTTTCATTCATCAACACCTTCTCAGTTCTCTCAGTAAAGGAAAGTTTGACTTCTCTGAATTTTTAGGTTATACCCCAAGCTATATGCACAAGATACGGCCTTGCTGTTGGTGCAAATTTTATATGGATTGTACGCATATTGATGATTGTAACCTATCCAATTTCTTATCCAATTGGAAAGGTGATTTTCTTGTCCAATAATGAAAGCATAAAATAAGGTTACTGTATTTGATTCAACAGGAAATGCATCAGCGGTCTGCTTCTAGGCTGGGCTGTATGAGTCGGGGAAGGAAAACCACTCATCTTAAAACTTTGAACCAGCATTGTTTGGATCAAAGAGTTGATTTTCTGGTGATCTATTCTAACTTTCTCTAGGCTGTAGGATGAGGCGTCAAATTGGGTTTTTAGCCTTGGTCATGGAACTTGAGCTCCCTCATATCTTTCCTCCCCAAGAATATGCACATATATATTTCTATGTTCCTATAGTATGTTGATGAGCAAAAACAAGAGGTCAATAAGCTATATTCATGATCATAAATGGCTGGATGGTTATTTTGTCAAGTTGAGTGAAAGCTGAAAGTCATGTGTACTTAAGCTTCTGGATATGACATTAGCATGCAGTCAAATATGTAAATAATCATTGGTGTGGGGGCTAGGAATGAGGTTCTATTGCTGCTTGTTAGACAGCATTATACCACATCCTGTCATATCTAAATTGGCAAATTACATTATACTGTAAATTTAATTTACTATGGACTCTTTGTGCTGCGTGGAACTCATTTGTCAATAAAAATATTCTGCAATTGAAGGTATTGGACTGCTTACTAGGACATAATGAAGCACTCTTCAGGAGAGCACAATTGAAAGCACTTGTCTCCATTCATGGTGAAGCGGTAACTGACTTTCTATGGAAATGCTTTTCTATATAACGAAATGCAAGAACTGATATTTTCCATGTTCTTTAGGAATTCTGAAACTGTTTAGTGGGTGCTTATGCATTATCTGACTACAAATTATATTCTTTAGGCTGGAAAGGGAGGTGAACTTACTCATGATGAGACAACAATTATTAATGGTGCATTAGATTTGACAGAGAAGGTAGCTGCTGAAATATCCTTTTAATATTTATGTTCTGTCAACTGTTTTGAGTTTTGTAATGTCTGGTTTAAGTTATGATCCACAAAAGTACCGAGAAGATTAGAAAAAGCTGCTCTCTTCTGAATACTAAAATATCCAAACTGCCTGGATACAGGATGGAATGCCAAATTTTTGGCCATGCTATTGAATTTAACATCTCTTTTTGAGCGTAAAAGAATTTGGGCATTCGACAAGAGCCTCGTTTTCTTGATTTCTGATTCTACTTGTGTTTCCGGTGGAGATATCCAGTGTTTGCAAGAGCTACTTAATCTGCTCTCCAGTATAATGCCTTATTGACACCAAACAGGGCAAACACTGATACTTTTTCAAGGCTTGCAATTTTGAGCAATCTTTCTTGTCCTCTAATCTATTTACACTTAATATGTTATGAAGATATATAATTTTCTGCAAGCCTGATATATACCTGGTTACATAAAATATTATCTAAAGCTGGTCCCTGCTTTTTTAACTTGCTGAACAGACTGCTGAGGAGGCAATGACACCGATTGAGTCAACTTTCGCCTTGGATGCCAACTCAAAACTAGATTGGTAATGATGTTTATTTATATAAAATATTTCGTATATATTACCCACCCCTGAAAAAGAGTAGGCAAGTTCAATTCATTACTGGTGTTGTTAAGCATGTTTAAGCCGTGGGATCATCGAAGAAATGTAACTGTTGAGTACTGCTGTTCTGTTATTATCGTTTCATGTCTGATTCTGTACTACTTTTTATTATGCCCAATCACATAGCTGATGAGAGCATGACCTGAGAAATGCCTATTATTGGTTAGCTGAAAATTGAAAGTACGAACGTTTACATACTGCTTGTAGATGGAACATTGGTTTGATGTTATCTAAACATACTTGTTTGAATATTTTGAATGGAGTTTTGGGATGCTTTAGTAGCCAAGATATTCTTAGTCATAAATTGTACTCACCTTGCCCATAGTTATCTGTCACCTTAGGGAAAAACCAACATTTCTTTTAGGCAAAATTACAACCATTAACACCAACTTTGAGGGGTGTTACAATCATTGACACCAACTTGTACCACTAGTTAGATTGACACCAACTTTGATTAAAAAAACATAAATAACATTAATGATGCTTGAGTGGGGTCTATTTGCCAGAAATTTATCATTTACAGTATTAAAATCTTTTTTAGTAATTCGAAATAGATTATTAAATCAGTAACTAAGTTTAATGTGTTAATTATTGTTTAAAACAAAAGGCCCAAATTAAAATAACAATACCCCGATTTTTTTTTCTCTCCTCCTTTCTTCGGCCATTTTCTTTGCTTGTGTTGCTCCTATCCCTATTTCAACCTACGAAGGCATAATTCAACACAAAATTGAAACAAAATCAAACCTAACAACACATAATAATCATTCAAACAAAACATAATTCTTAAATTAAAAAAAAAAAAAAAGAAGTAAATGGCTGTAAACTTAGTATGCTAGATTCACAATTCCACTTAAAATAACCAAACTTTCATCAATGTTTAATGGATTAAAAAATGTAAACTAAAAAGACGAAACTCAATCCTTAAAGCTTACTAGCAGAGCCTAATTATCAGCTTAAAAAAAAATTGTTTGTCTTCCAAATTTGGTAAAAATAGCAATGAAGAGGAAACAGAAGAAGAATCAACAAAGAAGATGACTGGCTGAAGAAAGGAGGAGAAAGAAAAAATTGGGGCTTTGTTATTTTAATTTGAGGCCCTTTTTTTTTTTTTTTTTAAAACAATAATTAACTCATGAAACTTTACTGTTTTTAATAATCCGTTTTAAAATACTAACAATGATTTTAATACTTTAAATGATAAATTTCTAGCAAGTGACCCCCACTCAGGTATCATTAATGTTATTTAAGTTTTTTTTTTTTTTTAATCAAAGTTGGTGTCAATCTAATTAGTGATACAAGTTGGTATCAATAATTGTAACACCCCCCAAAAGTTGGTGTCAATGATTATAATTTTGCCTTTTTTTTTATGATGTATCTCACTTCTTTTACTCAACCAAAGCATCTTAAGTACTCAGCTACGTGTCCAACAAAGGAACACAAATTATAGTGGATAATAGTTTGTTGTTGGAGTGTGTGACCAGGGAACCCTTTTTTTTTGTTTTTTGGGGGAGGGGGGCGGGGTGGAAAGCTTGTGGCAGTTCCGCCTTTGTTTCTTGTTTGAGGTGGGAATGTGGGATCTGCCCCAGTATCTCCACTTTATGGAATTTATAGGTAGATGAATATTCTGCAGTCTGCTAGTTGCCCCTTTAAGAAAAATTGTTGAGATGTTGCTCTCTCTTTCCTTTTTTTTTTTTTTTTTTGTTTTTTGATTTGGCCACGATTTCATTTTGTAGGGAAACAATGGGAAAAATACAAGCTCGTGGGCATAGTCGAGTTCCTGTTTATTCTGGAAATCCAAAAAACTTCATAGGAATGCTTTTGGTGGGTGTCAAAAAGTCCTAGTCGGCTAGTCTTGAGCTTTTGAATTATTTCCTTTTTCCCAAAATGAACCACACTTACTGTTGGCATAGACATTAAGAATGTTGTTGAATGTATAAAAATGGGGATCAGTGTAAAAAGGAAATGTGACCTTTTGGGGACATATTCATTTGGAAAGTGTGAAGTTCAAGTTATGATGGAGGGGCATCTTAAAATGGAAAGTATTTTATATGCTAGGCGTATCAAGTCTCTGAAGTTGTTTTATTTATTTATTTATTTATTTTTTTACGTAATGCTTCTTATGCTCTATAATCGGCCTTTGAAGGGAATTTGATTAAACTCTTCTTCAATCCTCAGACTAAAAGTCTTCTAACAGTACGACCCGAAACAGATACTCCTGTAAGTGCAGTTTCCATACGAAATATTCCAAGGTATGGTCTAGAATCTATATATATTGCACTCCTAGTCCATGAATCATTAGTGAGGGAGTAATATTCCTACATGTTTTCCAGGGTTCCAGCAGACATGCCTTTGTATGATATATTGAATGAATTTCAGAAAGGTCAGAGTCATATGGCAGCTGTGGTGAAGGGAAGGGCAAAGAGTATTCATAATTTGTGTATCATTGATGAAAAACCTAAGCGATCAAATGTCACTAATTTCAAGTGCGATTTAGCTACTCCTTTATTGTCCAAGCAAAGTGACAATTCTGAGAGTATTGTGGACATTGAAATAATCCCTAAAACAAGAAACAAGAACGAGCATAATTCACAACAGGATTATGCATTACCAAACTCTTCTCGAAATCCAGTAGAACATACGAGGGAGGGAGAAGTTATTGGCATTATTACCCTTGAAGATGTTTTTGAAGAGATTTTGCAGGTAGGTATTTACGAAGTATAATATAATTTTATATTGTTCTTTTGGGGCATTTTAAATATTTTAATTAATGTTAAGGAGGACCCTTACTAAACCTCAGCAATCATGGTTTCTTAGTCTGGTCTTTGTGAACCAAGAAGGTAAGCAGCCTAAGCACTTGCAGCTGGGGGGGGGCAAGGGAAGGATTCAATCTCATGACCTCTAGGTTGCGAGGTGAATCCCCAACCAAACTGCACCTAGCCTTGCTTGGTAATGAGGAAGTTAGGTCACATGAAAGTATATTAGAAACAGGAAGTGCTCTAATTCATACTTTGTGGAAGCATCTTGTCCAAGGGTGGGGCTCCTTGATGGAAGACCAGCCAAACCTAGGTGCTGAGGATATACCGTTAGGCCAAAGTACATGAAACAAGCATTTAGGACTTTGCCGATAGTAGAATCTGTGAACCAAGCTTTACGACTTTTAGTTGCTTAGAAAGGTTTCCTAGTCCAAGTTTCATGGTCAAATTTTCATACAAAGTATATGATACTCCCTCCATCCCTTGTAATTTGTCATAATTGAATTGGCATGGAGATTAAAAATATTGGAGTAGGAGAGAATAAGTTACAGAATGTGGAGGTTTGGAGAGAGGAAAAGTTAAGAGTAATCGTGTATTGGAGAGAAAAAAAAAAAACAAGAGAAACTTGCTCCAAGTATGCAAAATAATATGGGACATGGAGGTCCTTGGCTTATTATTATTATTATTATTATTATTATTATTATTATTATTATTATTATTATTATTATTATTATTTTTATTTTTTTTCCTTTCCGTGAATCAATTTCTGTTCTTATTGAAAAGAGTTCCTCAAGTGCTAGTTCCTCAAGGCAACCGAAATGGGAAACATTGTCTCCTTGCCTTAAATCTTCAACCACGTGCGGCAAAGTTCAAGTGATTTAGCTTTATGATACGCTTAAGGAATGGATGATTGATTGCCTTGAATCATAATTTCATACGGTAGTCAAGAGTCATCATTATGGATCCCAATTGTGAATTAATGGGACTAAGGCTTTGTTTTTATCACTTGAAACCCCCTTTTACCTCTCTGAACTTCTTTGAATGTATAGATCTTAACTGAGGATTGAATTTGCTAGTGCTTGCTAGAAATCGTTTGAAATTACCTAAAGTTTTGTTTCTAAAACTTTTTATTTAAGGTGAAATGGACAGTGCCCTTGCCCCTAGCCTTTAATTTCAGATTTCCTATGCTTCACTAACAAGCTGATGAAGGAATGTTTATTCTTATGTGGCAATCAATCTTGGTGTGGATCCTGGTTCCTCTCTTTCTTATGGTTCTCAATACATTTTGTGTAGCAGTATGAAGCCAATTTTGGAGTAATTGAAATTGTATGACCTGCAGCGAAGCCCCCTAGAGCTAAGAGTCAGCTGATTATTTTCGTCCCCAAATGTACACATGGTGTAACCATTTGTCTAAAATGGGTATTGGATTTTAAGACTTGGAGGCAAATATATACTGATTTACCTGAAGTAACCCAGACCTCTGTCTTTTTCTTAGATAAACAGACTTTAGCTCATGCCATAGAGGGCGTTAACTATACTGTTTAACATACTCCATTTTTGCCACTTTAAATTGAATTTCTGCTTTATGCAAAGATTCTTTGATCTTATCCCCCCCCCCCTCCTTTTTTTTAATTATTTATTTTTTCTCTTAAAATTCCATCTTTCCATACTGAAGCTATCATATTCACTCTCTTCATGTGGTCTTTGGAAATACAGGAGGAGATTGTAGATGAAACAGATGAATATGTTGATGTTCATAAGAGGTATCAGCCATTGTTTCATTGACAATACCAAGCTCAGTTGCAGGTGACTGATTTGGCTATAAAAGACTGGCACTGACAATTTTACTCGCTTCATGCAGAATACGTGTTGCTGCAGTTACAGCTGCTTCTTTGGTTGCACGTGCTCCATCTCTTCGGAGGTTAACTAGCCAAAAGAATGTTGTAAGTATATTGTTTCCCTTCCTCCTCCCCGTTCTTTCTTGTTAGCTTAGCTTTGTGTTTATTTGTGAATCATCTCTGTAACTTCAACTGTATTTATAATGTCATTGATCTGATTTCAAGAAAAGGTTTTGATGCTCTGCTTCCTGTCAAGGATATGCGGTTTTAGAACCTCTAGGATTCCTATCTCAAAGTTGATCAAAGCCATTTAAACATCCAAAAAAAAAAAAATGTCCCTTCCTAATAGATATGTTTTAACTTTTAAGTGTTGGGGTGCACCACCTAGAATTTTCCCAATTTAGGTAAAATGTATCTCAAGTCATAGGCCAAGGGTTCAGCAGAACCTTCATCATTACTCTCATGAACTGATGGAAGGTTTCTCCTATCCTGGTTGGTGTAAATGGAGGGTTAGATGTACACAGTCAAACTCTCTTTTGATATGTGGATATAGAGACAGTTTTTCATTGCAACTGCTTGAATAGATTCACTCAACATTAAGTACAATGTGATACTATTGGAACTTTGGAACCATAGTAATTTATATAAGATTGGATGTAGACAAATAAAATCAGAACAAAATAGAAAGTACTAGTACACAAAACTAGAAGAGGAAAAACTCTTGGCAAAGATATTACGGATCATACATGAGTTCATTTTCACAAGCATAATTGCACGTTTTACATTGATTTTGAAGTACTAGGACACTTTTATCGAGGGTTCTTTGACAAATTAGTCCTTGAAATGTAAAACCTCTAACAAGGTGTTTGTTTAGAGGGATAAGAGATGTAGGTAGGGATTAGTAATCCCAATGACAACTTATCCCTTGTTTGTTTAGGCTTTAGGGGTCATGTGATTACGTATTTATGTTTGGGGATTGGGATTGGGATTGGGATAGGGATCAAAACTCACTCAGTCCCAGCAATTAATACCGCGGGAGCAAGTATTAGGGTGGAATTTTCTTGCTACTCTACCCTGCTCCCCTGGGTAATACAGCTCTCAATGAAATGGGGCCACTAGTATGTTTTTTCTACATATTGTGTTTGCTGCAATAGGAAGACTAATCGATGTGCATCAGTGGTATTTGACCTATGCATGCAGACGCTACGAGTTGTAAAATTGTAAATTTAGCATAGAGGTTTAATTTCCTTGTGTGGTGTTGCTCAGGGTCAGGGAAGCCACAACAGGCTTGGAAAAGGTGCAAAGAAGCCTGGTGACGAGAGTCATGCTTCAACAAAGTGATTACTGATTATCCCTGCGCCCTTCTCAATTGAGTCAGTTTGTGAGAAGAGGCGAAATATTCTACTTTGCAGCTTTCATTTATGATTCCTATACTTGTGAATTAGATATTGAACTATGCTATGCGTGAGCATCTTGAGGAGAAGTGGTGTTGTTCACCTTTGGTTTGGTATCAATTTATGTACAAGACATGAACAATGTACACTCATGTCAGAAACACAGAATGCCAATTATTCACCCAAAACTATTATTTTTTTCCATCGTAAGTATTACAGTATATCAAAAGGGATTTTTAGTTTACAATATGCAAGCCAAGAGAAATTTAGCCTGCAAATAGGGTGATATGTTTGGTATGTTTGATATCTTTAATTATTGCATATAAATTTTGTTTTGAGATGCTGGAGTGATGGAATTTAGTTGAGATAATCGAAATTTATTCCACTTATGGGATTAAGGCTTTTATTGATTGATTGAATCGAAATTTATTGACTGATGGAGCTATGGATCTTTATAATTTGGCAATTGCATTCATTTTAAAGGGAAATTTAGCAATTTTTATTATACAATTGGTTGTACCTTGCAATGTACTAGTTAACGCTCTTGATGGTTGTTTGATTGTAATTAATAGCTTGTTAATGCTCTTGATGGTTTGATTGTAATTAATAGGTCTATGTTTGTTAGTACTCGTATGTGATATGTCTCCAACTCTCCAAGTTATTTGACATTGTTACTCATATTGAAGTTAAAAAAAGATTATACTCCCTTCGTTTTTTTTTTTAAATGCATCACTTTTCTTATATGGGTGTTTTATTTTTTTAAATGCATCACTTCTTTATTTGGTAACTTTATACTATATTTTATTATTTCTCTCTCTTACTTTAAACTCCACTTAAATTATTTTATCATTTCTCTCTCCTTCATGATCCCTACTTATATAATAAAAATATTTACTCTCCCTCACATTCCTTCTCTTTTATGATCCCATCTAACTTTAACTATAATAAATTATTCATCCGCTCACAATATTATATTACTCTCCTAAAACTCCACGCATCATCAAGTGATGCAAATAAAAAAAACGAAGGGAGTACTTACACTTTTCTTTTATCAAACTTGCCAATGCAAAACTTCAAAGATCATAACTTTAATTCTTCATAAGTAAAAATTGTAAAAGTTATACACTATGATAATACTTATTGAAAAAAATTCAAAAAGATACCATATAAATACGGGTCAGATAAAAAAGAATGGAGGAAGTACGTTGTTATCCTAATTCGACTTTAGGAATGATTTTTGTGGATGTATATTCATTTATTCCGTATACAATTTAAATCATAAGTTTTGTGTATGTAACTAACAACCATAGTCCTCGTAACAAAAATCAAAGGCACCAATTGACGAAGACGGTGTAGAAAAAATGTTGCATTTGAAAATGAGTGGTTTCCCGCCAAGAAAGAAAACACACATTCCATTTGCACTTTATTATGAAGGCCATCAGAATCCCGCGGAATTGAAAAGAGTAGCGAAAATTGCCGAGGAAGACAGCTTCTTGAAAAATAGCAGAAAATTGCCATGGACGATGTCGATCGTCTGTTTGAATGCTTCAAATGTGGCGTTACTCCTCCTGGTAATTCTTCCCCCTCTCTCTCTTGACTGCGAATCGTCATTAGTAAGCTCAATTTGATCTTCATTTTTATTTAATCATAAATTGGATTATGTTTTACGCCTGATTATCACCATTTAGCTGTAATTGATCTTCAATTCTACCAAATTATAGTATTAGTTAGTTTATCATCACTGCTAATTGCTCTTCTAGGGTTCGGATTGTTTGGAGATTGCTATGTTAGGGTTTGAAATTGATCCAAAAGTTTGATTACGAAATTTCTTGTGCAATACAGTTAGGTATTAATCTTGAGTAATTACCTATTTTTTTCCAGGATATCAAGGTGAAATTTTTTTGTTTGTCTTGCTCTTAACACAAGCTTGGGTTTTTGTGATGCCGTTGTGAGTTGAAATATTGGCAAATTTAGTCATGAATTTGCCAAAGCTTTTTTTAATTTTAGCTTTTACTAGTTCACTTAATTAATGGCAATCTCAAAATTTTGTGCCTATTTTAGTAAGCATGTCTGTGAAGTTAATTTATCTTTTCAAGTATAGGTCTCGTCCTAATTAGTAACTACGAAGGAGTTTAATGATTGATTGTGGGCTCGTTTGGTTCCTTCTGAAAATGTTCAGTCATTTGAAGTAGTTTAGAATGAAATTAGATGCCCAATTTACCATTTTAGTTGGGATATTGGGCATAACATTTCCATACATGTTACTGTCTGGTTAATGGTTATGGCTCCTTTTTTTTTCATCAAAATAACAAATGTTGTGTACAGAATCTGCAATTAGAGAGAGAAAAACAAGTGTGAGTAGACTGAAGCCAGAGAATTCAAGTTTGAAGAACAACGAGTCACCAAGTTCAGCAAGACAAGGCGAGAAGAAAACTGTGGATGAATGTGGGAAATCAGAAAGTGTATGTCGTGTGCTCTTAGTAACTCATTCTTTTAAGTGGGCTTATTACCCCCATTGCTGAAGTTTGATTATGAAACTTTCATGCTCGTTTTTGTCCCAACATCTTGTTAATTGGTGAACCATCACAAGTATAAAAATTATCAGATATGCAATTTTCAGTATCCTCTACCTATTATATATCTATGTTACTGGCTTATTTCTTCTGAAATATTGGAAAAGAAAAAAGTGCATCCATATTTTCTTCCTTTCCCTTATATTCCAACGCATATATTCATATATTTTTTTTTAGTTTATTTGTATTTTATGATGCATTGCAGCTTAGTTTTCTGATATTAATATCTCAGGGTGTGTCAGTGACAAATAAAACAAACAAACTCATTGCTGGCAGGCAGCTTTCTCCGGGTGTGTTCTATGGATCACCACATGGAGTGCCTCCAAAGAGGCCATCCAGTTTACTCCGAGTATTGCGTGAAATACACCTTGATTTTTCTGGAAGACGTAAATCCAACTTAAGGTATAATGTTTTGACTTTTTATTATCGTTTACATTCATATGAGGTGTCGATCATTTTTCAGGTAGCTGTTTACATACACTCTACTGTATCTGTCTTGTGTCTCTTGCAATCATTGTTAAATGTTTGGTCAGGAAGCAAATATGGGCTACATTTCCGAAGCAGGATGATGCTATAAAATTTGCAAAAGAAGAAACCAATGTTCGCATATTCAGCTACCAAGATCATTTCAGTGGTCAAAGAAGATTCCTTGTTTCTACCTATCAAGAGTTTTGGAGAAGGTTACTTGTCACCACTCATTATCTTCAACATTTTAGTTGTCTTTTTGCTGGCTTGTGTGTCTTGCTTACTGAAAGTTAATCCTGCAAGGCTGCAACATTATATAGGTACAAGAATATGGACTCGAAGTCACGTCATCATTATGAGGTGATTCAAGAGGTGAGTATCTGCTGTTTAATATCCTGTGCAAGGACTGTTCAATTGTTTCTTTCATGGTTTTATACTATGATTCGAATCATTCAAGATTATTTGTTGGGTTTCTACATATTATTGAGCTAAATTTGTACTGCTTGTAATTCATTTACCCTTTGTGCTAATTCCTAAAAAGTACTTACTGATCATCCGTGTATACTTACTTGTATGCCATCAGGAAGAGGCCTTTGTGTTTTGAGTAGATAAACTTCTTTTCTTTTTGCACCTGACTTACTATTATTTGTGCTTTTGCTCCTTAACCTTGCTTTTGTACAAAGTGAGCTGTTTGATAAAATTAAACTTTGGACAACATGCCATCACCTTGTGCTGGCCTAAGTCCTTAGTTGATTTGAAAAGGGCATTTATGCAACACTATATCTTCAGATTATCAAATCTTGATCTCAAATTTCAAAGTAAATATTTTTTCAAGAAAGTGGGAAGATCAAAACAGGATCATAAAAAATGTGGTACTATTTTAGGACGAATGAGGAAGAGAGTGCGGTAAGTACGAAACTATTAGAAAGGTTATTATTCAAAATCATGTTAAATCTTGTAACGATGAGTTGGATATTGGAACAAAGCAACAACTTTCCGAAGGGGGGAGCATATGAAGAATAATACGTAGTATAACTTTGCATTTTCTGTCCTTTTTTAAACTTGTTACTTGTTCAAATGAGACAAAATCTAATCTTGTTGGGTTATTCCCTATTTCCAGGGCTTCCCTTGTCATCTATACTTTGATCTAGAGTTCAATAGATTGGAGAATACAGATAGAGATGGTAATCAAATGGTCGATCTTCTTTTGCTGGTCATATTTGAGGCATTAGATGAGAAATATCATATACAAGGAGAAGAAGATTGGGTTGTAGAACTCGATTCCTCCACTGAAGGTAGGGCTGTGATTTAGGTGAGTGATTTGAATATTTGAATACATGGACTTGATATTCATAACCGATTTTTCTAAAGTTTCATCTTTGGCCTTTGTACCTTTTTATTACTGCTGCTAAGATAGTATATTATCATATATGTTTGGGCAAAGATGGATTTTGTTTCTTTATATCTCCCATTTCCAAAAGTCTTCATAAACAGCAGAGTGTGGCCTGTTCAATCCAATACATCATTGGTTCATGCAGTGATGCAGTTTGATCTATGATTTGTTTTATAATTCAGGGTTTAAAAGTCTTATCTATATGTTTATTGGTTACATATGGCAGAAAAATTCTCTCGCCATTTGGTGCTGCGTATTCCGAAAGCTGCGTTCAAGGATAATTCTCATGCTGGTGCTTTTGTTTCTGAGGTATGGCTGGTTGTTACTTGATGGATATTTCTGTTATGATTCCTATTTAAACATAAAATAGAAAGGGACAAAATATACATGGAAGCATTAGAAATATGTCAGAGCAGTTGAACATAGTATAATCCATCTTACATCTATATGTTACATCTTTACTTTAAGATTTGATTGTGTGAAACTTGTAATGACTTTTGTGCAATTGTAATATCTGCACACCATGTCCTCTCTTGTATTGTGTATCTATCTAAACATCATCCACCCTTTTCTGTCAATATCAGTTGTTCTCAAGAATTCATAAAGCGAAGGAGAAGGATGAGAGATTTCACCAACTCTTTATTTCGAAAGATTCTAGCTCTGCAGGACCTTCAATGCAACTGTTTGTGGATAATGCTGTATATTCAAGAAATCGTTGTTTCCGCTTAGCTCTATCATCAAAAGCTGGGAAGACGTCTGTGCTTCTGCCTACTGGACGTTTCAAGTGTAAGGGCATGGTATGAAACCTTTCTGTATCTTTGTCCTTATTAGAAGTTTTTTGTTTAGCCTAAGCAATTACTGCTATTTACATTTATTGATGAGCTGGAAAAATTGATACATGTTGCTTATGTGCCCATTCATATATTCATTTCCATTAGTTGTATTATTCTGAGAATGAGAAGGCTTTATCTAAACATGATGAGTGTTTACAGTATGAAGAAGACGTTTTCATGGCATCTTTGATCTGCAATATAGATAATGACTGTGAAAAGCTTTTAGTGTGCAAAATGGAGTTGGACTGTATCAAAACTCTGCAGTTTGATACCGAGGTAATATTTAGCTTAGTATTAATGGTTTACTCTCTCTCTCTTACCAACCATATTGAAGCTATCAAGAAAACTCCTTTTTTTTTTTTTTTTTTTTTTTTGTCCTTTGAGGGATCTTGAGGATTCTTTCATAGCCTTAAAGTCATGACATCATGTTGCTCTGTGTCATTCTAACTTTCATTGTTTAATTTTTTGATGCTTCAAAATATTTGTTTTCTTCTTTGATTGCAAAATTATTATTGCTTGACTTATGCAGGTTAATATTACTAGTAGGAGACCTTTGAGTGCGCTTCAAGAATTCACATCTAATGCTTTTAGAAATGATGTTTCGAGAACTTACCTAATGGGAGCTTCTCCATTTCCTGCCCTGGATGCATTCATAGAATCTGTTGCTTCTTTTGGAGCAGTGACTGGTATGTATAGAATTTAAGAGCTGTTTTTTCAGGATTGACTAGGTGAAGTGCAATCTCAGATTTTTATATTGATTTCTTGCCAGATTTACTACATTTAATCAGCATTTGAAAGGGCATCTCGTGATTTTTCTTCTGTACATTTGCAATCTATAGTCCTTCAAGACTTCAAGTTAGCTCAACTAGTCCTTTTTGCGAACTTTCTTTCATCCAATAGTGTAGTATAGTTCACATTTTGAGGTCAAAAAAACCAATCTCCAAGCTTGTAACCTGTAATTGCCTGGTTTTGTCAGTAAGTTTTTTTCTTCACAAAAATTTGTTCAATAGTTGTAATCCTGGGGAACTTTAAGAAGTATCTTTCTACTAGTATCTTCCAAAACAGCTCATACTCATTTAGTAATTTTACCCCCTCTTCAAGAATTCTTATAATACAAGAGAAAAGACAGCTGAAGAAAACATTATGTTTAGGTAGCTCTTGATGCCTATTGATTGGAGCATTTTATTTTGGTGTACACGTCTTCATAAAAACAGTTGATACCATAAGTTTGAGCTTACATAAGCTAATTAGTTCCACTTGCAGCCCCTTCAGCCATTGTAACGGTTTCATAGATTTCTAAAGGTTTCCTTCATCCATTTTACTGGTTGATTGATTAAAATTTTGACTGTTGACTATGATGACTCCCTCCAAATTCCAGGAAAGATCCGAAGCTGGTATTGGTTTTCTGAGTACGGTTTGTTGGTCTACAGTATGTCAAAGAGCAGATACTGTGGACGGATTGGTCGAGAACACAAAAGTAATCATGGTATGTTGCATTGTCCTATCTCAAATTTTACACTCGAAAATATGATTCACAAATCCTGCTTATTATCCAAGTCCACATAATGTACTAACTTTGTCCTCTAGTTATGTATGTGGCAGACCTACAGTGGGCTCTTTACTATCAGAAATGTTATGATCCTGACTGCCAAGGTTTGTCCCATTGCATGTGAGAACTTATGAGTTAAACCCTGCAGTCACTTCTCGCTAAATTTCTGTTTTGACCAGGCTATCGATCTCCCTCCCGTCCCATTCCACATGATTTAATCCCTGAAATTCCCAGTCTAGAAAACACAGGAGTTATTGATGGCTCTGATAATAATAAGGAACATATGTTACTCGGTGGTCATGAAAGCATGATAGACGGAGATAATGATGAAAGTTGGTGGCTTGAAGCAGTGAAAGCTGCTGACAATGTTGAAACTATGGGAGATTTATTTATCAGTACCACGGTTAGTTTATCTGTGCCTTCGTAACATGTGGTTGCTCCTGCAAACTTTCTTTCTCTGGTTGGTTCAAAATCTCTCCTCTTTGTATATATTGAAGGATAATGATAATAAAGATGATGGCGAATGGTGGATGGAAGTTGAGAGGACTGCATCTCAGGCTGAATTAAACTGCCACTGCTAAAGACATGATATCGTTGCATTTCTAGGTGTTCCCATGCCTGTCCTCTTGCAAAGACTACTAGTGCTCCATGCTCATCATTGGTGTGTGTTCCTGTGGATTCCTCAGAAAATAAGGTAATTATTACTCCTTTGATCCTAAATTCATTTTCAATCTCAGGATTGTCATGAAGTTTAGAAATTAATAGTTAAAAGTAGAACAAAAACAGAAAGAGAACGAAAGATTATTGGGATGGAGAGAGAAATGGGAAAATTAACTAACTTGGAACTTGAGGTGGATTGAGTAACCAAGTTCTCACATTGTAGTGTCTGGAGAGGAGTTATCCGGCACAGTTCCTCTAGAAAATAACCTGAATTCCCCTATCTTCTACAACTAATTAAGAGGGTATTCTGCAACTCTGAAGGAAATGTGTGACTAACTGCAGCTGTGGCTTCATAGTGTAACAAAAGAGCTGCAGAGTCGAAATGTCCTCGTATATTTGAAGTTGAAGCTTTTGCAGATTGTAGATGTCCTTTATTCCTGTATAGTTAGCATCTAGGAGACCTTAACTAACAGAACATTAGTCTAATGGTATATCCTCTGGTATGCGATGTATTGCAGTAAGTTTTCCCTGATCTGTAATCAAACGCTGTGATTTACTCCTGTTTGATGTATATAAATAAATCTGTAAGAAGATTATGCATTTTTCATTTAATAGATTTTCGAGTACAAAAAACTACAGAAACTTGTACTGCTAGTTTCATATACTACGTATTACATACAGTGTCAACCTTTATTCTTCCATCATTTTTACAAGGTTTTGTATTTGATACATGACAGTCATACTGCTAGTCTCAATTAACTGCATAAAACCAGGTACATTATTTTTCTCTAAGATTCATTAGTACAATATAGATAGCATCATCATAAACCAATTATTGCTGGGCAATTTGATCTGTTTTGACAGTTTCATAAACCAGTTGAGCAGTCAGAACATCAACCACACCAGAACCAACAGATTTAAACACAGTAATCTCCTTGTCATTTTTTCTCCCAAGCTTATCACCTTTAATCAATTCCACCAAAGTCCCACAAATATCATCCCTAGTTATCACCCCTCTCTCAAAAGCACCCACCAATTCCCCAGCTTCCTCTAATGCAACCTCATTGTCAACAAACACTCTCCCCCTCCTTATTGCCTCGTCGTCGCACTCCTTCATTGTTGGCTTAAACGACCCAACAAGATCAAGATGGGCTCCTTCCTTCAACTCTAACCCTCTCACCAACTCTCTCTCCGAATTCGTGGCGCAACTCACAATATCACCCAACCCAACCACCTCCTCCAAGCACCCATTACTCTCAAAACTCACCCCATCAAACCCATTCTCCCCCCTCAACCTATCCGCCAATGCGGCCGCCTTTTCGGGTGTTCGATTCCAAATGATCACCCTCTTGATGCTAGGCCTAACACCCAAATGGGCAGTGATCAAATGGGGTGATAAATTACCGGAACCAATTATAACAAGAACATGGGCATCATTTCTTGACAAATAAGAAGAGGCTAAGGCTGAAATTGAGGAAGTTCTGAAAAGGGTCAGCTCAGTAGCATCAAATAGAGCTAGGGTTTGGCCAGTGATGGAGCTGAAAAGGGTGTAGCAAGCATGAATTCCGGGTAAATTGAGGGAAGAGTTTTGAGGGTGTGAAGTTACAAGTTTGACCCCAATGTAAGGGAGAGAAGAAGAGGTTGAGAAAGAGGGCATGAGGAGAAGAGTGGAATTTGGGGAGGTAGAGAGAGAATGGCGAGGTGGGGTAGAGAGAGAAAGAGAGGCGTTTGGGAGGGTGGTTTGGAAGTGGCTGACTAATGTTTTGTGGGTCAGGATTGAGCGGAGGGTGGTGGTTGAGATGAATATTGGGGCGGTTGTGGCGGCAGCAGCGACGGCGGCAGGTGTTGCCATGGCGTAGAGACTACAGAGAGAGAGAGAGAGAGGGAGGACGAAATTGTTGACTGTAAATGTGTTTAAGCATTTGGTGTTAGGGGTTGGAGCAGTATTTTAAGGTTGCCTAGGCCCAAGCCCCAAGGACAAGACATAATGGAGAATATTGCATTTGAAACTTCAGAGAAATTGGTTCTAAGTTGAAAATTTTACTAATTATACTAGTAAAAAGTTTAGGAAATTATTAGTATCTTTTCGTTGTAGTTTCTATCACGAGTGTCAAAGACTTAGATTTGTTTGAATCCAAATTCTTGAGTACTTGTGGATTTAAAAAAAAATGCTATTAAGAGTATGTTCGGCAAAATTAGTTGTTGTAGTAGCTGTTAATCTTTTGGACATAGATGTTATTGTTGACTACGAGACTACGAGAATACTAATAATGAAAATTAAGAGGTGATTTTCAATATAATTGTGTATGATATAAGTGTTTGACACAAAATAACTATTGCAGATTTTTAGTAAAATAATTTTAGGAAATTATATGTTTTAGAGCTAAATTGATAGCTTTTGTTCTGTCAAGTTTAATCTAAAATTTAGTTTAGTGAAGCACCATTTCTAAAGCTCAAAGTTAGCATTGAATGTAATATCCTACTTTGACATGTGATTTCAAGTACTCTTTCGCTCATTTTGCTATAGGTTTTCATCATAATCTTCCATCCTAAAGAGTTGAGGATATTTTTCAAACCATGAGACAAAGTTGTTGGTATAGTTCTCAACAAATTTATATCAAAATAAAGTTCTATGTTATCAACAAATGTAATACTCGTAATTGATACTTGCTCATTTAATTTTGAAATCATAACACTTTCTATACGAAATCATTTACATTAACAAGGTAAAAATAGCTAATTTCTATGGTTTTCAACAATTTGCTTGGTTACTTGGTTAGAGGTTTCTGATGTGGTATGTCACTGCATGTCCGCATGTGACTCAGAGCTTCCAACTTCGAAGTAGTATTCTCTATTCGACTACTTTTACAGTTATGCAATGAAAAATAAAACGTAACAATATAAAAAAGAGGCTGAGATATTAATTGATTTTGATTTTTTTTTTGTAAATGGCAAGGAGGATTCCAACCTACGAAATAATCAATTTTGGTTTGGTAAGGAAGACTCCAACTGAGATACGGAGTATTAATATAAACAGCTATTTCACAAAATGCCACTGAATACTTAAAAAATTCACCAAATACCATCGCGTTTTTTGAATTCACCAAATGCCACGAGGTTTAGTATAATATCACCAAATGCCATTTTCGTTAGTTGACTCCACCACTTGTCACATGTCACCTTCTAATTGGTCCGTTTTTTAAAAAAAATATACAAAAATTTAAAAAAAAAACCAAAAAAATTTTAAAAATATACAAAAATTAAAAAAAAAACCAAAAAAATTTTAAATTTTTTTTTTAAAAAAATAATAATTAAAAAAAAAACCCAAACCCCAGCCATCCCTTGCCGCCGAAGCCAGCATCAGAAGGCGCGCCGGCAGCCAGCGGATCCCCACCCCTCCCCTTCCCCTCCCCTTTCCCCGTCGCGCCACCCACCTTAGCCTAACCCGCTAAACCCCACCCCCCTTCCTCCACCACCCGAAACCCCACCTCCTTCCTCTCCCTTTTCGATTTCCGGCCACCCCACCCAAAATACCCTTCCCCTCCCCTTTTCGTTTCCGGCCACCCACCCACACAACCCGAAACCCCTTTTCGATTTGTGGGTGCTCATTTTTTGGCTCGAATTCCGCTGTTTTCTTTGCAATCTGTGTGTAATTTCTTCTTCTCATTGCAATGTAAGTATTTCCATGTATAATCCTTGCTTCATTGTCGAATTTTATGCAAATTTGTGAAAAATTCAAAAACCCCCTTTGAAAAATCGATTTGAGGCTTTCTCGTGTGATGCTTGTTTGATGAAATTGTTTGTCCCATGTTATTGCATTCTTGATTGTGAGCATTTTGATAGTAATTTTGTAGAAAATGGTGAAGAAATGAGCATGTTGTGTTGTTGCCTTCGAGCTTGAACGTGGGTTTTAATGGTGGTGGAAAGATAACGGAAAGGGGATGAGGAAGGGGCGAGGTCACCGGCACGCTTGCTGGTGAGGGTCGCCGGCGGCAAGGACTTTGGTCTTCGGCGGCAGGGTGGGGTGGGCGGCCTGCCGATGAGGGTGGTAGGGGTGGTGGCTAGAGTTTGTTTTTTTTTTTTTTGTAAATTTTTGTATAATTATTTTATTTTTAAAAAACGGACCACTCAGAAAATGACACGTGACGAGTGGTGAGATCAACTCACGGTCAACTAACTGACAGTGACAGTCAACTAACGAAAATGACATTTTGTGATATTATACTAAACCTTAGTGGCATTTGGTGAAATTCTGAAAAACGCAATATCATTTGGTGAATTTTTTAAGTGATATTTTGTAAAATAGCCGTAATATAAACCGCCTCTTTCCTTCGGTCCTTCCACAACACAATAAAACCGAAAATATCAAAACTGGAGTAAAAAAGTAACCATCTCATCGTCTTTGTAACTCAAAACTTTCTGGGTCGCTTCAATTCTCTCTCATCTCTATCTATCCAATTAAGGTTTTTTCATCTTCATTGGAGTTGAAATTTCCCAATTTCGGCAATCAAATTATCAAATGGAATGCAGCAAACTCCAACAATTGCAGGTTTTTATCCGATCACCCGATCTTCAATTTCCAATTCGTGCCCTAACCCTAAATCCCAATCAAACATGGGCTGATCTCAAAAAATCTCTTCCATTCTCCAATTCATCATCATCATCTTCCTCTGAGCTAGGTTTCTTGTCTTTCAATGGCAAAAAGCTCGACAAATCCTCCACCATCGGTTCTTCCGGCATCGCTGCAAACTCCACCATTAATCTCCACTTTAAGCTCCTTGGCGGCGGCGGAGATGGCGGCTCAACTTGCGCGGAGTCGAGAGATTGCTACTTGAAGATGTACGCCGAGAAGAAGCCGGAAAAAGTGGACCCTAACGAGAAGCGGCTTTCGAAGTGGACAACTTGCGCGCTTTCCTTCGAGCCATTGAAGCCGCCGTGTGTTATCGACCGCCTCGGTAACGTATTCAACAAGGAAGCTCTTGTTAAGGGTTTGCTAGCTAAGAGTTTGCCGAAACCGTTTTCGTTATATATTAAGGGTTTGAAGGATTTGATTCCAATTCAATTATCTTCTGTTGAAGGTGATAAAGTAGAAGGATCACGTTTTCAGTGCCCAATTTCTGGGTTTGAATTCAATGGGAATTACAGATTTTATGCTTTGAGTAAGTGTGGTCATGTTATTAGCGCAAAGGCACTCAAAGAGATTAAATCTTCTGCTTGTATTGTATGTCACGAGGAATTCGAGGAAGACGATAAGATTGTTATTAATGGGACTGATGAGGAGGTTGATGTTCTTAGGAATAAGATGATTGAGATGAAGGATAAGGAGAGGGAGAAGAAGGCGGCGACTAAGGTTAAGAAGTCGAAATCGAAACAATTAAACTCGGGTGATGTTTCCGGGGGAGGTGATGAGAGTGTTAGTGTTGTAACCAGTGATGATGTTCGGTTGAGTGGGAAGAAGCATGGGATTGATGTTGTTAATTCGAAGGCCGAGGTCAATGCCAAGCTTCCTAATGCTGTTGCTGGTGCTGCTGCTGCTACTGCTAAAAATGGTTCAACTAAGAGATTCAAAGCTGTTGATATTGCACCGCCTAATGCTGATAAGAAAGTTTATGCTTCTCTTTTTACTTCTTCTAGGAAGTCTGATTTTAAGGAAACCTATTCTTGCAGATCGCTTCCTTTAGGTCGAAACTGATTGTTTGCTTATCAATGTGAGTTTTGTTATCTTGTTTTTACATGGCTGTCAATTAGTTTGTTCGTTTCCATGTTGGTTATGTTGAAGCATTGGCATCTTTGTGTTTTGAAACCATATACATTGTTGTATGTATCATCTATGTATACAAGTATTAACTTTCTTGTACTATTTGTTTTCTTGTGTTCCTGATCCTCCCCGCTTTAAGTAGATTTTTGAAGTAGTATACGTACTTGTACGAGGTAAGATGGTGGTTATTATTCTGGCTTTAATATTTAGTAGCATGAGCTGAATTAACTCACCAAAGTCCAAAGGATTGTTCTTTTGGATGTAAATCTCACTGTATAGAGCTTAAGAACAAGCATTTCTGTAATGAGAAAGGTGGGAAGCAAGTAGTAACGACAGTAGGTATAGTCGTATAGTTAAAGGAGCACGTGGATGGCACAAAGCAGAAGGAATAAAGAGAAAGTTGGGTGTATCTTTTATTGGTAGGGTAAGTTAATGCTTTGACATAAGCTTGTTTTAGGGTTTTGTTGATTTATTCTCGTCATCTTTAGATTGAAGTACTTGCTTATATTGTTGTGTGGTTGATCAAAGTGAGTGGATTCTTTGTTGATTGGACAAAGTGTTGAGGTTCTGCCTTGTTGCTGGGTATGCAGAGTATTTTGAAGTTTCCGCTTTTATGTCACCACAATCCTTGCTGGTTTGGTAGGAGGCCAAGGCTAAGTAGCTTCTTATAAGTTGAACTATATGTCTTCTATTGCAAGCGGCTTTCTTGCTAATCTGCTATGATTCCTGTGAAAGGATGGCTTTTTGTTCTGCACATATCAAGCCTATAATTCTCCAGTTTCCTTCTGATCCATATTTTAACTGCCGTTCTTTTAAAGTTAATGTCTTCACATTTGCCACATTTAAGCTTGCTCATACTATGTTATTGCTGGGGCTTTTTATTCTTTTTACTTTGTCCAATCTATTTTGTTTGATTGCACATAATTGCATCTCAAGTCCCCAACTTTGGTGTATCCAATGTTCCATCTGCAGTACTAATGTCATCTCAACTCCATTTTTGTCAGGTTCCCTACATGGATTTTCTTGCATTGTATGATCTGTTTATTTGTGTGAATTGTGATTAAGCTATCTGTCTTAGACATTGATTTACCATGTGTTGTACTTCTCCTGACAGTCATATATTGCTATTGGAAGGCATGTTCACCAAAGTCAGCTGATAAATGTGAATTGCGTATGCCAACAATACATGTTAGAAGTGAATTTATTTCTTGAGAGCATACTTGTAGAAGATTTGTAGATTTCACAATGCTGTGATAGAAGATTATGTTTTGCAGGGGGCTGGTGCTATGTCACTGGATGAGGTGATGCAGCTGCCAATTTAATTTTGTCGTAATTGGCATTGTCGCTTCAGTAATTATTTGTGTATGCCTCGAAAATCCTGCTTAGGGCTGTAACCAGCTGCGGTTAGTAATACAGATGGACCAAACACAGCTGCCAACTCTAAAAGTACATACTCTGTACTCTGTTGGACCTGTGTCAGACTAGTACAATCTTGGTTCATATAGACGAATTTTATAGTTCTCATTGTTTAAGTTACCATTTATGAGCTACAAGTGATATTCTGAGTTCCGAAATCTGCAGTATCGTATGCATAGACAAGTATCCCAACAGACAAAAATAATAGGCTCTTATGCTTGATATTTGTGAGATTCATTCATGGATTACCCCCATGGGGAGTGTTGTGACCAAATCCGCCTTTCATTGCTTTTGATGTGTATAGCAAGAACAAGGGTGTTGTTGTGAGCAAATACGTGTTTAAGCTCTAAATGTATAGCAAGAACATTTCTTTACACTTTGATTTTACTTCATAGTTGTAGAGAATGCAAATATTGTCAACAAAAAATAGGGAAATATGCATACTGAATTAGTAAAAGTTGATTATGTAATGGCCTTGCTGTAAACTCTGATACGAAAGTAACTATCAGATTGAGAGATTAGTAGTCAGCCCAAAATATGTAAGTAGTCTAAATTTAGTCTCATTCGACTTTTGACTCGGACATTATTTCAGTAAACTATGTTAATTGTTGTATGACAATTTGGGTTTCACTTATTCTTGTCCATTGATATCATGTAGAAGTCCACAAACAATTTGATCTTTAACTTTTGTAGCAATCAACTTAAGGTTTGGAGGATACTCATCCAATTAGGGATAAGAGAAATACATCCTATTGGACTTGTAAACGGTTAGAAATCTTTACTTTCATGAGCTTGAGCTCCAAAGTGAAACAAAATACTATCACATTGGAGGATGCTTTACATGCCTTAAATTGTGTTCAAACATAATCTAGTTTATGCTTTAGTGTTATAATTAACTAATTTAACCTGTACGACTACTGCAACAACAAAGCCTTAATCCCAAAATAAAGTGGGGTTGGGGAACCAATTCAGCCTATATCCTCCTATACATAAAGGGGAAAAAAATATAGATTTCAAGCGTTCAACTAAGATTTGCATCTTGGGCTTACTCAGCTAATCCTTTTAAGCCGCATATAATTGCAATCAACATTGAAAGCTTCTCTATTTCAGCCATAGACATTTTAAAAGTATTATTTTCATTGAAAATCAAAATTCTAAAATACATGAAGTAATACGTATAAAGCTACCAAACTCCATTACTAAAACCTGTAATTTCAGTTGTACACTACAAAAAACAATCTCAAAACTTTCTAATGCACAGACAGAAACTACTGTCGGTAATCAACATTACATGCAACAAGCTTTCCAGAACCATATGTTGTGCCGTGAACCTACTTAAATCTAGATGATAATGTACACACATCCCCTGACTCTTTAATCAGATGAGGGATAGGGAAAAAAAAAAAAAACAACTTGTGACCTCGTACAAGAGGAGATAACTTTCTCCTCTCTCATCCTCTCTATCAGTCTACAACTGATGACAAATTTGAACAATGTTAGCATAAAAACATCAACTCTACCTTGCTGGAAAACTGTTACTTTTGCAAGCATATGTTGAAGAAAAATGGGCTGTACATAGCTCGAGCTATAGAGCAAATTATATTACTTTTGCAACATGAAGATCTTCTCAGTTAAGGTACATGAGAGCTCGATCTTAAAACAGAAATATACCAGCGGCATCCAGCATCTATCTGAAGATTCAAAGGTAAATTTTGAATAATTACTAATCATTCAACTTCAGATTTCTTTTCTACGGGTTTGTTTTACTTTTTGAACCTTCTGATTGCTTCTAGGGAATAATAAATCGTTAAGCTGTCTTTCAGCACTATATTCTGAAGTGGCCTGCAAGCATATTATGATGGCAGTGAGAACAGCATATCAGAAATATTACTTAAGATTATTCTTGAGAAAATTAAAGGGTAAGGACCTGAGAAGTGAAAGCAAAACGCAATGTTTGTACTTGCGTTCCTGAGCAAACTCTCAAGTCGAAACCACGAGAATCCACACCAATAAGCGATGCCTCCTGCAACAACAATGAAAAGGAAAAAATAAAACTCCCCAACTTATTACAAAAATAAGGGTAGAATCCAAGTCAATCAATCAATCAATCAAAGCCTTAATCCCATAAGGATAGAATCCAAGTAAAGCGAGAAAAACAACTTCAACAGCTTTAGCTATATCCCCTAATCAAATCCAAGTACACATTTAAATCCTTGCATTAAGAAATTTTCAATCCAAAACAAAATCAGCACAATCTCAAGGATGTATATTATTTCTCAGAGACTAAAGCTGAGCAAAAACAAGGCTGCATGATGCATGTTTCTACAATTTGAATTCAAGAACATCAACTACTAAAATCACTTTTGGTTCATATAGCCGACCCCACTTATGGGATTAAGGCTTTGATTGATTGAACCTCACAGAGAATAAGGACAATTTATCATGGAGCTGTAAATGATTAAAGCAAAAGACAGCTCAGCTGTTCTATCAGCTTTTTGTCACAAAATTTTAGGCATTCTTACATGCAAGTTTCTGATGTAAGCTTAATGTAGCTAGCAAACTTAGATTACAAGGCAGAACGGTTTGTCAGTATGTGCAACAAATCATAGGTGAGCAAAAAATGTCACCTCTACTTGAAGACCCTTGCTTCTCCAGCACAGGGATTTGAGAGCATTGGTGGTCTTTTCTCCTGCAGCACTTACACGAGATATAATTTTGGAAGCTGAATGAGCAATTGCATCAGAGTGTGCCTTCCTGTAATCTTCAACCTCAACTTCAGTCTGTTACAAAGTGTAATTCCAGGATCTCATTTTAGCAAATACTTCAAAAAATGGAGAAAATAATCCCTCACAGCGATAAAGGTAACCAGCAAACTATTCTAATTTTAAAGGCTGGGTTGAGAGGGAATTTTTAAAATTGAAAATTACAAAAAAAAAAAAAAAAAAAAAAAAAAAAAAAAAAAAAAATTAACACACACACACAAACATAGATCCATCTTTACTTCGGCACTTCCATCTGCTTTGGCTATATTTAGGCTAACACATTCTCAACACTTAAGGAATTCATAAAATTATTTCTCTCTTGTTAAGCAAATGTCCTAACTAAATTAGTTCATATGAACACATAGGCACGGCTGACATATGAAATGAAGGAACTATAAAAAGGCCTCATATTTGCTTCATAGCTTGTTACCTATACTCCTGTATTCTCACAAGTCATAACTGTCAAAAGTTGGGGAGCCTTTTATTGCACATTCACAGTAGATAGTAGTACAAAGAAAATTTTATTTAAAGGGGGGTATGAAACCTTAACCCTAAGTTCACTAGTCAATAAGTATTTTTTTATTGGAAAAATTGGCCGCAACAACACCAACTATGATAAAGGTGCGTATAACATCACAACCTTTTAAGGGTGCAGTCCACGGCACAAACTATGTAATTGGCTGCATATATTAGCATAAATGACACTAATGAACTAAGGTTCCATGGAATAAGTGGAATCTTTATTATTTTATAATTGTTTAAACATTTTTTAAATTTACATGATTTTCCATCAGGTGACTAAATTAGCTTTCCCTTCTAAATTTTTTTTTCTTTTTTTTTTTCTCTCTTTTCATTTAAGCATTTTCTTAACCTCCACCATTTAAGCAGATTCCATCAAAAAAATTGTGCTATTATTTTCCTTAGTTCGCTTCTTCAATTACTTTTTTTCTAATATCGATCTCACATGATTGACTTAGTTTCCTTTCCCTCTCCACTTAGTCAAATACTAAATGGATAAATAAATAAAAATCATTCAAAAACCTTTATTCTACCAGATTTCAGGATACATAAGTAACTTTCTAAGATTCAAAATACTTAATTCAAACAACAATTTTAGAATTGGATTTTAGGATATGCCAAATTGATTTTCTGGTTTTTGATATACAACACTTTAATTGTGGAGATTGAGAGAGAATAATTTAAAGGGAAAAAATTAATTATAATGGAAGAGGAAACTAAGTCAATCACATGAGATGTACAAAAAAGTAATTAAAGAAACAAATGATAGAAAATAATGGCGAAAACTTTTTGAAATAATTCAATTTAATGGTGGAAATTGAATAGTGTTTAAAGTAAAACAATTAATGGAAGAGAAGACTACTTAGTTACGTGAGATGGAAAATTAAGTAGAATAGAATTATATATATATATAAAGCATTAAAAATATTTAAGATTCCAATTTATGAAGAAATCTAAGTTTTGCCAATGTCATTTATGTTGTTATGTGCACCCAAGTGCATAGTTTGTGATATTGAGTGCACCCTCAAAAGGTTGTGCTGCTACACGCACCTTCGTCATAGTTGGTGTTGTTGCGGCCAATTTGTCCTTTTTATTCTCTTTAAAATAAATTATGAAGATTTGTTCCTCTAATAGAATCATAGATTCACTATTCTTGACATTTAAATTGTAGTGAGCAAATAACCAGGGCCATTAAACTGTGAACAATTCACATATTATTATAAAGTAGCACAAAGTCGTTTTGCGCAGAAACTCGAATTAAGTCAATAGCATTGCCTTTATCACAGCAACCTCCATAAAGAGTCATAGGGGCAATGTTGATGATGTACATTTGCTAGGTCCCCAAATATTTTTAGGCTTTCCTGCTTATGATTCCCAACAATAACCATTACACTTCTACTTAAAGTAAACCATTTTCTTTTCAATTCCTCACATAAATCATTATATGTCTCTATCTAAACATATTTGACACATCATCCATATATACTGAAATAGCCTTATAATAACAAAACTCATTCTTGGAACTTTATAAACTTATTGCTAGACCTGCTATGGTCCCAAAACAACTTTATAACGTTGGCGGCACCCCACATTCACTTCAATGTTGGAAAAAGTTACAAAAATTTGGTTTAAAACTGTGGATATAACCAACAATTTTTGACATTTTCACGTCCTAAAAGGAAAGAGGACAAGGTGCTTCCATGGACCCCAAGATACCCCAAGAAGTCATTTGGATGGTTGGAACCATCTATCTTGCCTTTAAACGATCAATTCATCCAGTTACATACACATCTCCCTTCATAAACCCAAGGCAATCATGGGCCTTTTTGTGACCAACTAGTGGTTTGTTATGGTTTTAAACCAACTTTTGTGAACCTGAATTTGAAACCATGGATGCCTACGGATAATTTTGGAAAGAGTTCAAAAACTGGGTTTGAAACCATGGATGCCTACGGATAATTTTGGACTTTTTCGAGGCCAAAAAAGAAAGAGAACGAGGTGCTTCCCTACCGTCATTTGGGTGGTTGGAACCATCTATTTTGTCTTTAAACTATTAGCTAGTCACATATATGTCTCCCCTTCATTAACTCAAGGCCACCATTTCTATGACCAACTACTGGTCCATGGCATCACTTTGCCTTTAAACTATCAAATTGACTGGCTACATAAACGCCTCCCTTCATTAACTCACAGCCACCACTATGACCGACTACTAGCCATTTACGGTCATCACTTTAGTTTTCGACACCGGGTTTCGAAATCTACAAAAATAAACCCCAATTTTGTTTATCATAACTTTCAAATTAGCTTTCAAAGAACACCAGATTCGACAAGGTTAGACATCGAGGCTTTCTGGGTTCATGGGCCCCCAAGAGGCTTATTGGTGCAAAAAATTGTTTCATTTATGCCTTGGCCCACACTTCGTTATCGTGTCTTAATATGCCTTGGCTTAGCGTTGCATTGTCTTGGTCCTAAGGCAAGCCAAGAAGCTACATTGTGATGAAAGGTAAGGAATAACATAATTACTCGGCCTCATATTTTTCTAAATTTGTGAAGGTAATAGCTGAGAAAGGTGTTATTTACATTGTCAGAAAAGATAACGGGGTAAGGGGGTTTATATCAGCAGATCTGAGCTAGTTAGGGGTAAGGCTACCAGCTTACAATCTAGAATTCTAGACATCCTAACAAGAAACAATTGTTATTAATGAGCCATTTTCAAGCAAGACAAAATGATGGCATATTAAGAAATTGTTATTTAACAATAAAACCGGAAGGGTAAAGTGATGAGTATTATTGAGCCATTTTCAAGCAAGACAATTAATGGCATTCCTTAAGGGGGAAGGAGGAATAACACTTAATCTAGGTGGCTTCTCTAGTGATAACAAAAAGAATCACTAAAACATACTGCTGTCAAGAACTAGCCAGAATTTCTGATCCCAGATTTTTACTAAGGATCGTGCATGCGTGCAACAAGTTGATGACCCATTAACCATTCAGACAATCTTAGGGACATGAAACAATACCTGATTTCCATAAGCTGATATAAGCTGAATCTTAATCATCTCCAGCTTATAGAATGCAGTCCCATTAGACAACCCATTATCCTTATCCAAATCCTCAGTCCACTCAGAATTATCTTCAGGAGAAACCGATGGATGTGCATGGCCATTAACCAAACCAACATTTTCAACATTGGTATCTGCAGCTTTTTCATCCATGTTGATGTCAGCATCTTTATCTGGCTGAATCAACTTGTGCTTCTTGATGACAGATCGTTCTTCAATAAAAGCAGGTCTCAGAAGGCCTTGTATAGCCAGACCTGCAGGAGGCTGAACCATAAAATCTATAGGATTATCAGATGTGACCTGCGCATAAATAGGGCTTGGTAAGACAATATTCACAATGTACCAAGTTTTGCTTTCAACTCAAAGTAATCATCAGCATTAGTCTTATTGGTAACACCCAATAGGATTTTGCCTAACTTCAATAAACAATTTTGAACATCTTGAGAACATCAGCAAAGTCTACTCCACAATACTGCAAGGCATCACAGTGAAAATATAAAAATCATGCATAACGTGATAAAGACTGAGAAGAACCTCAGAAATCTTTTTTGCGAAATACATAGGATGGGAAGCACGCATCGTTTCTAGTTTTGCCCAGTCTCCCAAAGACTCATCTGAATCAACATGATCCTCTTCAACTTCAAGAATATCAACCCAATCCTTCAAAAGACAGATCGAATGAAAGAAGGATGTCATACCACCAGATACAGATTGCTGTTATAGAATTAGTACTCGAAGCACATATGAAGCCAAATAGCCAATAATTCTCACCCCGTCAAAGTCATCGTCGTCGTCATCTTCACCCTCGTCTTCATCTTCATCAAAATCACTATCTTCCTCATCAATTTCCTCGATACCAAAATCAATTGTAGCTGGACCTGTCAACTCCATCTCACTCAATATTTCTTTGGTATCCAGACCAATGATGACATGCTGCAAATAAGAAACCACAAGTCTGACAAGCCAAAAACACGGAAAATGGAATGGGACAATATGAAGTGTCAGGCTTTCTGCAAAAACTGATATGAAACACCTGATATAATTCCTGCATCTTAGATTGAGCATAATAAAAATGGCCTCCAAAATGGGCATCACAGTTGGCAGGCTTTGGGAAGGTCATAATGTAAGCAGTCTCAACCCTAAACAGAAAACAAGACTAATAATTTTAAAATTACAGCAATGTATTCAAATAGTTATTGATTAGAGATGACGGTGAGGGGAGAATAACATTGTATAAAAGGCAGCTCCAGAGTGATTCCAAAGAGCTAAAATGGTTATCAGGGAGGATATGCATTAAGCTTTTTAGGAAAGTGCTAATTTTGAATAGCTTTAGCTTAATACACTTAAAAAAAGATTGTTATCAAGATAAGAGATGGATAAAACAGCTGTAAATAAGAACAGACTGAATGAAACTTGCATGGATGGTTTGGAGGAAAAGTATCAGGGAACAATAGAACTTAATTTTTGTCTGAATTATCAACAAACTAACACACTCAGAAACCCAATTAAAGAAAGGAGTACAAGAACCAATATAGATGTAGCGTTTTGCAAATTTGATGCTTTCAGAATAAGCTTGATCCAAGTCATGCATCATAGAATTATTTATTCTTTGCCTGCAGGCATCATAGTATTTCACTCAATAAGAAATATAATATGCACAAAAAAATAAAAGTGATTAGGACATGCATAACTTGTATCTCACCAAGAGAAATAAGCTTGCCTCTGCAAATGTGACAGAGCATAAAGGTCACAAGGAAATGGGAGATCACAGGGAATCAGGCATTCTAAATATTGATCAATCACAAGTATCATACAGATTTAATTTCAAATTAAGATGTATGGAGGCAAGAAGATGAATCTATATGATACTTGGGGTGATAGATCAAAAATTGGTCCATAGATCAAAATTTAAAATTAAGGCTGTATGTTACTTGTGGTGATAGATCAACTTTAAGGGGTAAGAAGAAGAAAGCTTTTAAGTTCTAACAGGTATCATTTTTGAAGGGACATCAAACAAAAGTAACCAACTTAGCACTAATGATGACGTCCATGAAAAATTATCAGGCTCTTCTCCAGGACTCTGAAAGGGTAATGGAAGTGGCAAGTATCCAGTAAAAGCTTTACAAATAAAACATTAATGTTTTCACCCAGTCTATTATCCATGAAAGTTCAAGGTAGGGCTCACTCATATAGCAGTTTAACCTGTTGAGGTTAATGTAGCTTTTGTTAAAAGTTAGCTCATGTAACATTTTAGACTCCACTGCTACTACTTAAAAATCTCAGTATCTCACGTGCTGCTACCTCAAAAATCTAAACCAACACTTAGCCACATCAAAACATTTAACTATAGACAAATTGACACCTAACCACAGGTAAAATAGACAAACTGACACCTAACCACAGGTAACTTAGCTACTTGCCACTCTAATTGCTAGTTATATCTAATATGTCAATTAGATACAAACGGCAGTATAGGTAACCTTAGATCTGATAAGCTCAGGATATATACATTTCCTAAACATTGCTTCAAAATCCACATGAATTTCAAGAAGCATTCGCAATAAATGTATATATAGAAATGCCCCTCTTATTGACACCACCACATTACTATGCATCTCTAGGTCAATATTCTTACCACATAGTTGTTGTCCGAGGTCAGGGACTGCATAATGTCTTCATCATTATTCACCTGGAAGTATACATCTGGGAACAAGCCAAATATGAGACACTTTGGAGATAAAAAGGAGATAGAAGCTAATTTCAAACTATTAAACAAGATTGCTGTAAAACCAATACCAACTCACTTCCATGTTCGTCAGTCAGGTAAGGCAGATCTGGCCAGAAAATGTTCTCATGAACTTCATCATTAATCATACCAGAAAACATTAGAGTTGCTTTGCTGTTTACCTAACAACATATAGGCCAGACAATCAGTATAAAAGATAACAAAAGGACCCATCAACCAAAAGTATTGCAAATTCTGTAATTAATTGAGATAATATACACATAATCAGATAAAATGACCAAGACATAGTACTTTATAATTAACCTCCTCATTATATATCAGATAGCTGATTGGTCCCTCCTCTACTTTTTGGAGTAGCTGCATCCTGGTGCAGAACCAGAGGAAGTAAAATTAGCTACTTCTAGCCCCCAACCCAATCACTGAAGGAGGAATAATATTGTCAGGACTGTTGTATTGAGCCATTTCTTGAACTTATAAGCAACTACAACTAACTTTTATATTGGAGTTTAAGGAACAATTATCTATTACTCCCTCGTTCATTTTTTTTTAAGTTCACACAGTTTGACTTTTATGCTTCCCAACACATAATCTTGACCAATAGTATTATGGAAGTACATGTCTAGACGAATCTAACAAGATCCCACATGATTGTTTTTCCTTGCGTATAAATTCAAAAGAGGGGGGGGGGTATGTAGATAGTGTAAGAGTACAAAGTGGGCTAAAGGAGTACTTTTTATTTGACAGAATGAATAGTGTCATTGGTGATACACTGATAGATCGTGATATGAGAAGTTCAACAGTAACATGATCGTAACAAGGAACTGGAGAAAGAGGATGCATTGTACTGTTGTAGTAAGCAAGACTAGACCACTTCACGATAAATAATAAACCTACAAAAGAACTGAGATAATTTAAGTGCACTCATTGACTCAAATATTGCTGTTTGGCCCACTAACATGATGTAAAGGCATAGTTTTCAATCACTTCACTTGTCCAGACACATCCACAAAATATCAAGTATTTCCAGGTATGTTGAGTCAAATAATTCTTCGTGCTCAAAGGACTCTAGGATTTTAATTATCCAACATAATGATATAGCCAAGTGGCACCCTAAGACTTCTTATGAATAAAGGAGATCTTTCACCATTTTCCTTTGCAAGATTTTGAGATGCAACACGCACCAAATGATCTCAGAGGACTTTTGGTCATTGGCTCAGGAAAAGTATTGATCCCCCTGCAAATCTGCAAACTGTCTTCCTTTGTTCTAATTTCTTCAAGGCTATACTCGGGCTAGAGAGTTCCTTCCAAAGGTCAAAGGAAAATCTAACAAAATTAGGAGGAAAGCTAACTAGGATTACAATGCCACTCTGACCCAACATTTCTCATCCATGACAAGGTCCATAAGCCAAGACTAGGACTCCCATAGAAAACCTTGAGATCTTGAAATAAAATCATATAGAATATAATCCTGCACCTAGACAAACTCCTTAATTCTCAGGTCTCTTGTGATCAATATCAACAATAAGGACCACATGTGGCACTAAACCCATATATACTTGTCGAAGCTTATTAGAATGCCATGAGTCATCTATTCACCCTTATGAGACCTTTTATGGGGGCAATGAAATAACTCAAATAAAAGAGGGACGCTTCATGAGGCGGCATAATGGCGCTTATAATTTATACAAGTAATATAATTGACATTCGAACCAAGATAGGTTGTCTCCAACAAAGGTCATAAGTCATGTGCTCTCCTCAAAACAAGCCAAATTTCAAAATATACAGTAGGAAGCCCATATAGGCCATGAATGTTTAGAGTAGGATGTAAATAGAAAATAACAAGGTCAAGTAAAGTATATCAACATCTACATTAAAGGAGCACAATTTATTACACAAAATTAACCAAGGATGGTCAACTATGGAAGACATAATAGTCAGGTACTTGGGTCTAAAGTCTAATGGCATTGGAAAACTTAGTCATTACTCTAGCATTCCTTAAACACAAGCTAAAAGACTTCATCTTCCTTCGAAGTCCCAATTGTCATATGTAAACTCCATCCGTCCCAATTTACTGGCCCAATCTCCTAAAAAATAAAAAATCTCTACTCTCTTGAGTTGGGTTCAACACTCAATCACCCATTTTTTATAGTAATATAATTTTTAAATTGCATAAAAATCATTTGCAAAACCCTACAGGGCAAGTAAATTGGGACAGAGAAAATAATTTAGATATAAAATCTCAAAATCAAATAAAGAATCAAAACAATATTCTTTATACCTCAATGATAGTTCTACAAGTTTCAGAAGCAGCAAGTTGACCCTTTTCAGCTTCGGCTGCTTCGGAATCCGAAATATCCTCAAATGGATGATACTTAGACTTGCCATTTTCTCCTAAATGATCTGACCCTGACCCTAAATACTTCCCAGTTGCTTGAATTCTGCTCTTCCTTGACTCATTCCTTTTATTCAAAAAACTACCAAAGTTTTCCCTCAATTTCTTGACTTTATTCCTGAAAACCCAAATTAAAGTCATGACCTTTTTTTTTATATATATATAAAAAAATAAAATGATTACAAATCAAAATAGTATTGTGTTAATTTACTCAATAAAAATACCAATAAGCTCAAATCAAATAATAACTTCTATAATTAATGGGTTTTAGTAAAAATTACCAGGGAACAGCAACTTTGACCCCCATAACATCATCAGAGCTCCAAATTGAACGGCAATCTGAAACAATTAAAATTGGGCTCCCAATTAATAAATATCATGTAAAAATGCATGTAATTATCAGAAAAGCTCTAAGAAAAAAAGAACTTTTCCCCAGATAAAATTAAGAAATTACAAGATAGAGTGGAAGATGAATGTAAATGAATAGTCATAGTTGAATCTATTAACATCATTTGCAAATGGAAGATGAACTTAAATGTTGAAGAGAGAGAAAGAAGTGTGAGGAGAGAGAATGTGGATTGCAGAGTTCTTGGCCTTTGCCGTTTTTTGGAGGATGATGAAATGAAAGATGCTTTTTTTTCTTTTCGTTTTTTTTTTTAGAAATATCTAATTAAGTATTTTTCTTTCGATTTTACACGTAGATAATTCTTTTGTCCAATTGAATTGCACCCACGTGGCATATGAGCACACTCTAATTGGCTAAGCAATTGTACAATCATGATAGGGCTCTTTGTCATCCTTGCCATTAATTTTAATTTTATTTTTTTGGCAATGAGTAATTTGTTTTTATAGAAAGGATTTTTGTTCGAATATTCTATCTTCTTGCATAATAATATCTCCAAAAAAAAAAATTATACTAAATCACTCATATTTGAAATATCTATTATACACTCGGATGTATCATGCATGATATAACGATCACTCTCAACTTTTTCATATTTAGTTCTCTACTAAATAATTCAAATGAAAAAAAAAATAATAACATTGAAAATTGTGCCAATTAGTCAACTACATACTCTCAATTTGAAACTGATTTCATATGCTAGTGTGAATATGTGATCATCTAATCTTTATATGATACAAACATACAATCTTGCATCATGCTATAAGCCTCATAAAAATACATGTATTATGCACTAACAAAAGTATTAGTTACTCACTACTTTGAATCTCTCATATGGAACTTTTCTCTTAGTGTGTAGCAATTGTTTTATAAGTACCATTAATACTTCTTCAAATTTAAAGGAAAAATCCATTATAAAAATGAAAATGGTGTCCAACCATCGAATTATGAGAATACGGTAGAGGTACACTAATACATGGAGTTATATTGGTAGAGGTACAATAAGAATATGGCATAGTATGACAAAGAGGTTGAGTTTTCAACAAATTGATTAAACGCATGATGTCTTGATTTTAGTTAAGGTTGTTCACTTCAATAATTATTGTAGAATTAATCTTCACATGATTGTTAAAGATATATGTTATATCTATTGGTTACAATTTTAAGGTGTTTGCATGTTGTCATCTTAAAAAAAATGGTAAATGTATAACTCATTCAATTGTTAGATTAGTCTCTCTTTCGTTGTTATGTAATGCAACAATTTTTTACAAAATAGTTCTTACATTAAGTTATAACCTACGAAATCTAACATTGGGCCACTATAGGTTTAAATATCATTTTTTGAGGAATAAATATTGTTAATTATGTTTAGCTTTTAACAATTTTAAAAAATACTGTATAATTTGTCTTAAAAAAATGAAAAAAAAAAAACTGTAGAATTTCACTTTCCAATTTGTAATCCCAAAACAAATGCACAATTCTATTGCACGTAGCTATCCAGATTTCTTAAACCCCCTCTTCAGTCTCATCTTTTACTGCAAACTTCTATATCTGTAATTATTAGTTTGCAAAGCAGGAAAATTTCTTTCTTCCTTTTCTTCAAAACTCCCATAAATGGGCGAAAAATCTGCTTACTAAATAGTGCGAATTTTGAGTATAAATGTCGTTGAAACTCACACCCTTCAATAAGCCATACGTTGTAATACCATCAATTTCCAGAAATTCCAGCAATAATTTATGTTCAAATATGCTTAGTTTGAGATACCCTCCTCAAATAATTACCCCTAATTTAGAATCCATTCGTCTTTCCAGAAATTGCAGCTCAAGATATGTGGTTGTAAGTTTACTAGCTAATATATCTCATTAAAGCTATAATTTTTCTGTAATTTTTTGGTGGAAGTTTGATGATTTTTGTTGGATTTCTTGAATTGTTAGGTTTGTGGGTTAAAAGGTCCAAGACCCAGGTACCCTCGGGTATGGAAGACCCAGAAGAAAATTGGGACAATATCCAAGTCTGCTAAGCTTGTTGATTGTGTAAGGTTACCTTCCTCTTGTTGTTTCATTGAATTATATAATTGCCTTAATATACCTGGAACAAACCAAAAAATTTATTTTTGGGATTGCCCATATTGTAGGAAGAAGCTATTTTTCAGATTATGATTTAAGGGTCTATAGCCTATAGGGAGCTACAAAGGGCTTTGATGTAGTCGGGATTTGATATGCGTATTGGTTAATTGGTACCACCCTCTATACTTTATCCGACTAAGCTAGTAGGCATCCATACGTGGAAGCTATGATTGATTGTTTATTGATTATCTGAGTTGGTGTTGTTTTGGACATTCTGGATTTTATTGTGGCTGATATTTTGCTTCTGAAGATGGTGAATTTATTCCTGTCTTTCGAATTTTTGGAGGTTTAAATATTGTAGTAACATTCTTGCAATGTCACTTATTATTCAAATTTTGTAAAGGAGGGGTGAAGGGGGTAAGCAATTGGGATAATAGAGAAGGTTTAAGTTGGGAAGGATGCAGGCAACAAGTAAGAATAGAGGAAGTATATGTGGGGTTTTAATACACCTTTGAGTTAATTATGCCTTCCTGTGCATGATTTGAGGTATTGATATTAGGAATGATGTTAATTATCTGGATGTCTAGGAATAGTTGGATACTGCTCCTTACTTCCTTGTTGTGAAGTACTCACTGCACGTCTGCATGGCATTTGATGCCGAGGATGTGGATACATGTATCTGAAATCTGATCATAGTAAAGTTAGTTTGAAGACTCTTTGAGTTTCTGATTTGATGTTTGTTTCACATGATGAAAAAACATCATGTCTTTTAAATACTTTCGATGAATGAAAGCTGTCTGTATTATAACATTGCTAATGAAGAAAGATAGCTTTTTTGGAAGACATGAGAGGGGCTCTTCAGCTGTATCTTCTCTTTGTTTTTTCCATTTTCTATTTTTGCTACTTTTAAACAATGGTATTAATGTTGATTATTACAGATTAAGGGTTTGTCAAATGTTAAAGAGGAAGTATATGGCGCTCTTGATGCGTTCATTGCGTGGGACTTGGAATTTCCTCTCATCACAGTAAAGAAAGCATTGAAGACCTTAGAGTATGAAAAGGAATGGAAGAGAATAATTCAGGTAGCAATCAGTTCCAAAGATCATTTGAAAGTTAACATGACTACATGAGGAGTTTATCACTTCAACAAGCTGATTACCCGTAAATGTAGGTGACAAAATGGATGTTAAGCAAAGGTCAAGGAAGGACAATGGGAAGCTATTTCACATTAATGAATGCATTAGGGGAGGAGGATAGACTTGACGAGGTTGAAGAGCTCTGGACAAAACTATTTTCAGAGAATCTGGAAAGCACACCTCGCATGTTCTTTGACAAGATGATTAGCATATACTACAGCAGAGAGATGTATGACAAAATGTTTGATGTATGTCCTATCCTGCCTTCTATATCATTTCCTTTTCACTTTTTTTGCACTGTTCCTTTAAGATGTGTAGCTGACATAAGCTGCCTCCCAAGACCACGATTTCCCTAATTTTCCTTAGTAATACTTTAGGTGTAAACATTAAGGAACTTTAAAGCTATTAAGTTTTAAAAAAGTTTATCTTTGCTCCATGGTAATCATGTGTTATTGCTTGTTTAGTGTGGTACCGTTCATTGTAACAAAAATATGTTAGTGTCATCACATATATGTACCAATTACTCTGTACACTATTGGACTTAATTTTGACACAGACTGAGTATGCTCTGAGATGAAGGTAAACAATTAGAACACCACAAACTATCTAGACTATGTGTAATTGTAGCTATTGTTTATGGAAATGCTCATGTAATTGAGGTTATTTCCAAAAATAGTTGTGATTCCTACGTTTGACTCACTACGTAATTCAGGATTAGAATAGCAGACCCAACTGAGTGACTGATATATACTACTCGGTATCGGTGTGTATTCGGATGAATTATTTCTGCCCGCCAGTGATTCTTGTGTCGGAGAGTGTGAACTCTTTGATTGTATAGTTAAGGTGCATGTAGAGTATGTAAGAAAAATCCAAATTTTGATCTTTGTTTTGGCTCGTAATTCTCTTAAGACGAGCCTGTTTTATGTAATCCACATGCGTGTTAGTGGTCACAAAAGATACCTAGTCAGACTCTTGCTTAAAGTGTGCATTGCCATGGTTCCAGTTTTGTTTACACTCCGTGTATCTGTATTGAGTGTATGACTGTTCTTTGTAGGTTTTTGCTGATATGGAAGAATTGGGTCTTCGGCCAAACACTTCAATTGTTTCAAAGATTGGAGCTGTTTTTCAGAAGCTTGGGAAGATGGACAAATACAAAAAGTTGAACCAAAAATATCCACCGCCTAAGTGGGAATATCGGTACGTCAAGGGCAAGCGTGTCAAAGTCCGAACTAAGCTACCTGATGAATCCTCTGATGAAAATGTTGTTATGGAGTTGAATGAGCAAGCAGAGTCTTCTGATACTGGTATAGTTGCTAGTGATAGTGACAAGGAACATGACGAGCAACCAGATGAGACTGCAGGATGATGAGGATGATGTTCTACCAAAGCTAGGGAGTAAATGTAGTTAGCTGATGTCTGTAATATAGCACAGATAGCATGTTATACTATGCAATATGGTTAAGCTACTTATGAACGAGTAATAGGATATGTAGCCTCATAGTGTAAAAATAACTTAACTTTCAGAAATGAATGCAGTTCCTTGTGAGTAAACTCGTATTCCTCTTTCCTGGTAAATCTTTCTTTATTTAATTTTTTTTTTTTTTTTTAGGGTAATGCTATATATAGCCCTTAATAAGGATATGAATAAACATTTAATAACTCTTCTTATTTGGAATTAATTTAGAAATGCATAACAAAATCACGTGCAAACCAGTGTAATTAATGTCATATTTTCATTTGTTTCTTCCATTTTTAGATTCTTATATAATGATAGCTTTTTCCTTTTTTTTAAATGCTCAAATGCAATAATGAATTTCGTAGCTTGCCGAAAAAGATGCGTGTAACTGCCAGCCTATCTGGAATAAAAAGAATTATGGAGACCTGCCAAACATGACTTGCAATCCAATATAAACTATATAATTGGTCACTATCAAAAATGTATAATTGATCAAGCATCTCAAATTTTGTAATTTTCGCATTGCACTAATAAAGGAAAACCCCTGTTTGAGAGAAGTTTATTATTCTAATTAAATCTGTGTTTGTATTCATCCTCGGACTCTGAACCTTCAGAACTTGACTGCTTATTCTTCCGATGAGCATCACCATTTGCAGTGGTGCCATTCTTCGTGTCTTGTTCATCTTGTTCGTCCTCACTATACTCACTCTCATAATCGTCATCATATTCTTCATCCTCAACCTCTTCTTCTTCTTCAGCCCCATCCTCCAATAAAGGCCCCTCTTCTGTGATGACACCACCCCTAGTGCCAGCCCTAGTTCTCTTGAGAATCTTCACCTTCAAACCTGTCTTAGTGTCGCATCCAATCCAAGAATCACATAAGCAGAAACATGTCATACTATAGTTACCCTCTGCTGGGGCCTGGAACTTCCCCATCACGAGGCGGGACCCTCCCTTTAATTTCTCAACAGCTTCCCTAACCGCTGCGCTGGTTTCTCTTGCACTGGCACCTGAGACTTCCATCATTTCCTCGATTGCCTTGGAAGCGGTAGTTAAAGCTGTAGCTTCATCCATGAAGTTGACCTTTTGGGAAAACCAAACATTATTAGAGTTCTGGTCTGCAAGGAGGAACCAAAAGTTTTCATCCTTGTGATTCGGATAATAAGGGGCATGGGGAAGAGCACCAATCAAACCATTAGGGCGTTGAAGTTTAATCCAAGCTTGAACTGTCACAATGTCACCCTCCTGTATACCCTCTTCACCTTCTGTTTCACACTTGACCTCCATAGATAGGGAAGGCATTATTTCAAGTACCCGCTCCACATCCTCTACTTCAGTGGCAGAAAAACCAGCTACTTGGGAAAGCAGGTCTGTGCGCTCTTGTTGAGTCATTTCTCGAAGCTCCTCAAAGGTCCGCACCTTCTGCAAATATATCACGTAAAAGCCTAGATCAGATCTACATCTAACAGCAGCAAGTTAAAAGGGTTAACCCTTAGCGCATAGCTAACTATATGTTATAAAACATATAGGATGGCAATTTGGTTAATATGTAGAACTTGGCAAACAAATAGAATGGAAAAAAGTACCACTACATGCATAATAGGTGACAGGTGGTAGGTATTTTGGGGGAAAATATTCAACGACATAGGATGGCAAAAAGTACCACTACATGCATAATAGTACACAAAAAGTACTATTAAGACAACTTATACATTAATGGTACATTATACATGCATAATGATACATTATAATGTACCACTGTAGTGTCAGTTTTGTTCATTTTTAATTCTGAAGCTTGCCAAATTCACATTTCTGCCATCCTATATGCGTAAATGCATAGCAACTATGCGCTGAGATGCACTCAATTAAAAGAGGTAAGTTAACAAGATATGTCTTACCTACAGTAGCTCACTATTGACAAAATACATGCAAAAAGTTTCACTAATTTAACATGTTGAGAGACTATTGTGATCCACCCAGTCCTCCCACTCCCATGCATATCATACAACTCTTGCTACTACTATGAAAATGTTTAATAGGGCCAAGCCTCGGCAATCCATTAAGGTGGATTCTCTGCTCTAGTCAGGTTAAAAATGGTATCCAGGTAACAATTGCTCACTACTGCTTAGGCTAGATCTATCATTTCTACAACTTCACGCGTAACAACCTTGGAGTTGGTTATTGCAATTAAATTCCTTTTTTTTTTTTTTTTTTTTTTTTTGGGGGGGGGGGGGGGGGGGAGGGATGATAGAGTTGAATAATGATACAAACATGATAAAGATCTGAACTCGAATTTCCCACAAACCTTGCGTGCAATCTTTTTGGTAACAGCCTCACTAAAATGTGGCAGCTGCAAAAAAGGTGCAATGCCTTCAGTTGACCCTCCTCCAGCTTTTTTAGCGCTCAAAGGAACAGCCTGCACAAAAGGTTCACCATAGATAGATAAGAATCTGCACAGCATGAAGGATATAGAACAAAAAGTAACAATCGCACAGCAGTTAGCAAATATAAAACCTACATAAATCAGAAACTACGAAAGAACCTACAGTAAGTCAGTAATATGATGCTGATTGGTCATGGGTACTGGCTGATGCATATTGCAAACACATTCTCCATCCAGAATCTCTTCACTGATCCTTCTTTTTATGTATATGAAATTATTTCGCGTCCAAATAGTTAATATTCTCAATGATCCCATTTTCCAAACTACAGTAGCTAAATTTGGATACCGTGAACTAAACATTGCAATCTAATTTAGAGACTCATATAGCAGCTTGTGTTAAAAACTTCAACAAAAGCACCAAAAAGATTTGCATATTGTATGAGCATATACTGAATAACTGGAATTTTGTGACAAAAATCAATTATGTTGAGGAGAAGTGTGTATCTTCTACCATCAAGAGTCATGACCATGATTAAGAAGTTGGTGAACATATCACTGTTGAGGCACTGTGTGTGGTGGGCAAACAACTGAAACAAGGGCATTTTTTATATCTAGCTGTAACCCTTGCCAGGGCGTGTATACAGCAGGGTAAAAAAACTCCAAATTTTGGCATAGCATTCAATCTACAAATAATTCAAATTTGATTAAAGAGAATGGAACGTGAGGAAGTGTTAATCCTATGTCCTTGAAGCTTTATTCAGCTCCTGAATTTCGTCTCTCTGTGTCCAAGTATATTTTAAACCTAGAAATGCAGACCAGGACTAGCTTATAAAAAGAAAGCCATTCAGAATCAAACATGATTATGACATACACCTAAATATAGAAGCATCCATTAGATGTGGCTGTTCGATACAATCAGATTACCATGTATAGCACTTCCTAAACAGAATCTCTCACTCGCGCAAGATTGGAACTATGACAAGTTAGGTGTGGGGAGAATAATACAACATGACAATGAAACATCATAAAGTTCAGGATATCAAGGAATTGCAGTACCTGAATAACACACTGAGAAAGCTCGACAACCCCTATTGCAGGCCTAAGCCACCCATGACCTTGAGCTGTGCGTGGTATTAGAGCCATCTGCATCACAAAGTAAAATATTAATGAAACAAGAGAACATCTGCAAATAAGTGTAAGATAATAACCCAAAAAAGGACTGGAAAAGACAACCATGGCAGAAATGATATAAGTCAGAATTGTAGACTTGACACCTAAGCCAACAATATATGATTGAAATGAGTTTAATGTGGAAAGTGGAAGCTAAGCTGAACAAGTATAGTCAATCTACTACTACTTAAAAACTTTGTCCAATTATATATACTAGATTTAAACCCGTGCGATGCACGGGTTTTATTCATAGTTAAACTTAACATTTAATATTTAATCGAAATAACAAAATATTAACACATAATATTACTAATTTTTTTTAATCTTATACAATTAAGGTTCACACATATACAAACAAATTTTAAATCTTCCAGGTTTCCATCATCCTTTGTAACTCAGTCGTTGATCGTGCCAGTTGATAAGTTGCGTAATTAACACTTATGATCATGTTCATCGCATTCAAGAATCTCATGGTGTTCGAATTCTAAAATATATGCTTCGTTACCTGCAAAAGTTTACGTATATTTGTGTGTAACATTAGATGAGTTTATATAGGATTGAAAAAATCCTGGATTTAAAGTGGTGATAAAGTTTATTAGATATGATAATGTAGAACTTAAACTTTTAGACGAATAAATGATAAATAATGATTTTTTTTTTATTTTTTTTTTTTTGCTAGAAAAAAATAAAGGATATATTTTTAGTTTCAATGATTTTTTCTTATTTTTTGTATCTAATTCAAAACTGATATTTTGTATAATTGAATGTGATTTCATATTTTTATTATTAGCATTTTTTAAAAAAAAGTATTTTATTATAATCACTTCTCAAATTTCTTTATTTTTTTTTTATTTAATCCAATTTTTTAACATGAATTTCATTTTTTAAGTTTAATAGTATTTTTGTATATATACGAAAATAAATTTAAACCTTTAATTTTAATCCTACATGGCATAATCCTATACATAAGGCTCTAAAAATACTAATCCTACATGGCGCTCTAATAATTTTTAAAAAATTAAAATCCTACGTGGCTCTCTAAAAGTTTGGAAAAAAACTCCCCTTTATATATACACTAGTTTTGTGCCCGGGCGATGCCCAGATTGTTGACAAAATTTCAGTATAATCTTTGTTGCCTGAATGTTATATATGGTTCTACAATCTCTTTTAATAATGTAGGATATTTAGACATACGATATCATATGGCTTATATTTATATAATAGTGTACTTAATCTATGTTATTATTGACTTGAAATTATTTTTATTGAACTTAAATTATTTTTACTAAACTTACCAAAATAAAATTAATTTTACTGATTAAAACTTATTTTATTGATTCTCTAATATTTTTTTCTAAAATAAATTAAATAACAATGCAATTTTTATGCGGCTAGCCACACCGGCCGAACAAAGTAACCCCCATAAAACTGACCGAGTAACCTCTAACACTGACTAATTAATCCTTATTTATATCACTGATTGAGTAACCACTATAACACTGAGTAAGTAACCCCTATAGCACTAACGAACTAACTCTTGGTGACACGGCTTGGCAGCTAC